GGAGACAACAACGTCATAGCGGATGCGCTCTCCAGGAAACCGCAGTATCTTGAGGAAGCGGCACCAGTGGCAGCCAGGCACATTTTCGCACCGCAAGCGTGGGCGTGCGCTTCTGCCGCCGTGGACCTGGACGCGGTACGACGCGCGTTACAGACGGATCCGTTTGCACAATCCAAGATGGAGGAGGTGCGAAGAGGGACAGCAAAGGACGGCGAATTCCAGATACGCGACGGCCTGCTGACCCGCAAAGGTGCTCTCTACGTCCCGGGAGACGATCTCCGAGCGAAGGTTTTACAGCAGTTACACGACGCCCCCAGCGCGGGTCACTTCGGCAAGGAGAAGACGGCGGACTTAGTAGCCAGGGACTTTTGGTGGCCCCAGATGCGGGGAGAAGTCGCGGATTACGTCGCCAGGTGTGACACTTGTCAGAGGTCCAAGCCAGTGCACAAGAAGCCAGCGGGATTGCTGGAACCGTTGGAGACGCCACTGCAGCCGTGGGAAAGGGTGGCGCTGGACTTTGTCACTGATCTGCCCAGTTCGCGGGGCAAGACGGCGGTGCTTGTGGTTGTAGATCTGTTCACCAAGATGGCGCATTTCATTCCTTGCGCGAAGGTGGCAACAGCGGAGCAGACCGCCAGGCTATTCATAGACCACGTGTTCCGGGTGCACGGCTTACCACGGTCCATTTTGTCCGACCGGGGTCGCCAATTCATTTCCAGTTTCTGGCAGAAGCTCCTGGGCATCCTGAATGTCAAGATCAACTTAGCGTCGGCGAGACACCCGCAAACCAACGGCCAAGCGGAGAGGGTCAACGCCATCATGCAGCAGTACCTGCGCTGTTACGCCAATCAGAAGCCGGCAACTTGGGTGGACTACTTACCGATGGCCGAGTTTGCCTACAACAACACGAAGCACGCGTCAACGGGGTGACACCGTTCTTCGCCAACAATGGGCGACATCCCAGAACATTCCCGGCGTTGGAGACGACGACGCAGGGGGAGTCGCAGGGAGCGGAACATTTAGCAGCAGAATTGCAGGAGGTCCACGAGGAGCTACGACGGCACTTGGAACTGGCTAAACACGCCTACAAAGTGCAGGCAGACAGGCACAGGAGGGCAGGAGAAGACATCCAGGTGGGGGACTGGGTATGGTTAGCAGCCCAGGCGGTGCCGGCCAAGTCGTTAGCTAAGAAGAAGCTAGGACACAAACAGCTAGGGCCATACCAAGTTGAGGGCAGGATCAATCCCGTAGCTTTTCGGTTGACCCTCCCAGAGGATTCCCGAATGCACCCGGTCTTTCATAGGTCGGTGCTTACACCCTACAAGGCCCCACACAGATTTCAGGAGCCAGGGACGGCACCAGACCCACGTAGGAAGTCACCAGGGGGAAGTCACCGAGGACCCCGACACTCAACGAGGTCACGGAAATTCTGGACTCGAGATGGGGGGAGGAGGGAGTGGAATACCTCCTCGCCAGGGAAGGTACCCCGGCCAGCGCCAACAGTTGGGTGCCAGATTATGCTCTGGAGGAACCTTTGCTTAAGGACGAGTTCCATGCACTCTTCCCACACAGGCCCATGCCAGAGGAGTATTTTGACGACTGGCTTTTACCCCCACACTTTCAGGCAGCACCTTCCGGGGGTTCTCCTCCGCAGAGGAGACCACGCCGCAATCGAGCCCTCCAAGGGGATCGTGCTCGGGGTGGACACGGACCGCTCTTATTGGTGGGACGATCAACCAGAAGTGGGGTGGCGAAGGGGGCCTTGGCAAGCAGCTTCGCCTGAAGTAACAGGGGAGGGAAGGGTTTGGAGGTGTTGGGGGAGGACCCCGGTTTCGAGCACTCCTACACTGAACTGGAAGCAGAGGAGATCGACGTCGACGAACTGTATCCAGCATCTACCCCGCTACAACGAAGCTCCCGGAACCTGCGCCCGAGCAGCGGGAGGGGGAAGGGGGCTTCGAGGGGGATGGATGTCAGGGGTTCAGGGAGAGAGGCACAGGGTAGGCAGGAGATGGAGAGCGATGGGGAGGAATTCCAAGCCAGCGAGGAAGAGGATGACAATGACTCAAGAGATTCCATGAGTCTTTCCAGCGAATCAGAGGATTCCCAGAAGGGGGCGCCGGTGGTCAAGGCCATGGGAGCCCCAGGGGGGAAGTGTCAGGAGCAGGGTGCCAGCGGAGGATCCCAAAGTGGCAGCTGGGCGTCAGGACCAGCCTCCCCACCAGAGTGCAGCGAAGGGGGTGGAGTTTCCAGTGTGTCAGAGGAAGCAGCTCCAGCAGCAGAGAAAGGAGGGGGTCAGAGCAAGCCGCCCTCCCGGAAGGGGAGGGAGCAGTGAAGGGAGTAGTGTAACTGTCAAAAGGAAAGTTAGAGGTTTGGCGCGCGCGCCTAGTTCAAATGTAGAGGCGCGCGGAAGTGCAGGGAGCCCGGAGGAGGGGCCAGGTCCCAAAGCCCGCAGGAGGGGGAAGAGCAGTCTGATTCCGCGTCAGAGGAATCCAGGAGGGGCGAAACCCCAGTGGGCAGAAGGACCCTGCGGAAAAGGAAGGAGAGAAAGAGGTGGAGCAGCGCAAGTCTCTTAAATTGGTGCAGGGGAGGGACTGACTCAGAGGGGACTTCAGCGGTCTAGCGTAAGAGACGTAAGGCTGCGCGCCTAGGATGTCAAGCAAACCATGAACTGCAATAAACACCTTTGTATATAAGAAGACATAGGTGTTGGTCTTTTGTGAGCTAAGACTTGAGGCAGCCTTGACAGTAAGTTTAATGGTTGGGCTTAATGGTTAGGGTTAGGCTCAGGCTCAGGCTCAGGGTTAGGGTTAGGGTTAGGGTTTGGTTTATATTTAGCATTAGGGTTTGGTTTAATTTTGGGGTCATGGTTATGGTTATGGTTAGAGTTAGGTATGTGCCACCACAGTAACAGCACAAGGAACTGAAGCGTCTTTGTTTTTTGCAGAATGTGGGAAGCAATGGAGATACAGGGGCAGTGAAGTGCATAGGGAAAGCTGTTGAGTGCAGGCCGTATGTAGCTATTCTGGACAATTAATTTCTCGTACTGATCCTTGTCCAGTGCTTGCACAAACCCAAGTTAGCATCTCCATTCAGCCACAAAGCTCACCCGACTATTTAGTCCAGTTTTACTGGCAATGGTCATTTTAATAGGTCCAATTAATGTGCAATCACGACACGTGTGTCATGCTGGATCCAGAAGGCAGAACAGGAGCGGAACAGGGTTGCCTATGGTGTGTTTATATGCACCACTGATGCATGCGGGAGACAAGAACGGAAGGAACCCCCTTCGTGAAATGGTCACCACATATTGAAGCATTTTATTATGCTCTTCAGCTAAGGGCTCCCAGAGTGGCTTAAAATGATCTGTTATGAGATCTGACTCTTTCAACCTAACATGCTTCACAGGGCTGTTTGGGGGTTTTGCTGAGGAAATCCACAAAGGATTTTTTTTGTACCACATCCATATAGGATAACAGATGTCCTGCCTTGCAAATTATCTCTATTCCTTCTCTGATGTAGATGTGGCTGGTCCATATTATTGGCTGGCTGCCACAGTATTTCTTTCCATATGATGCAAACGTCACAGAAATTCAAGGAAGAGAGACAAAAATGTCTGGTCTTCAGAGTATTCTATTAAGATGCATAGCATCAGAGGTTTTTTCCAGCCAGTCTCACTGACTGGTGACAAACAGTTTTCTGAGAGACCTGAATGCAATACACGAGAGGTTTCTCTTTTCTTGGTGTACAAATACATTTCTTCGGGCTGAGAGTCACCTCAAGTCAAACAGATTCTGCAGGCGATATCATATAATATATATAACAATATAATAAAAAACTTGAACAACCTGCTTACAAGAGGCAAAAGTAGTATTATGAGGGTATACTCTGGATCCCTCTTTCCTGCTAGCCTCAAAATACTGTACTAGTTGCCTGTCATCAATATTTGTTTTTAATATGTTCTCCTGCACTGCCATCTTGTGGTTACGTGTAAAGAACAGTGTTGCTTTGCCACAGCCCAGCAGAAGTTCAGATAGAAATTTTACTACAGAAGGCTGCCAGTTAGCACATAATTGGTGAATAACTACTGAAAATCTAACAATAATCAATTGTTCTCTTAATAAGTGATAAACTGTGTAATATGTTAAGAACCATTAACAGTAACTCCTGAAACTATGAATACGTGAAAAGTCTGCTTCTCTTTCACTGTAATCTTTTTCATGACTAACAGACACTAACTGCTTTGGAATGTTTCGAGCTAATATTCGTGGCTCCTTGCCAGCATTCTGTGCGGGTGTCTGAATATATATATTTTAGTATTCTGCAAGAAGGCTTTTAAAATAACATCTGCCATGGATGCTTTGAGATTCTTGCATTGCAGAGGGCCGGACTAGATGACCCTTGGCACCCTTCCCAACTGTACAATTCTACAATTCTATGATTCGAAGCAGAGGTTGGGTAGCCACTTGCCACGGATGCTTTCGTTTGCCGGATGCACACTGTCTGCAACCCTGGGGAGGTTTGCTTGGTGCTTTCATTACATATGTTTAGGAGCCAGGTGAAAGCATTTCTTTTCAACTGAGAGGATTAACATTCTACAGCTTTTAAAACGCATTTGCGGGAGCGTGTGTTGGCTTGTGTTTGATTTATTACATACTTTGTACAGTATTCTTGTTTTGTATTTTGCTGCTGTGAACTGCTCTGTCAACTACAAATTTAATAAATGCCACTACTGCTAGCGGGGGCGATTCCTGAGCCGAGGTTGGATGGCCACCTGTAATGGATGCTTTATTTGAGATTCCTGCGTTGCAGGGGGTTGGGATAGATGACCCAACTCTGCAGTTCTACCGCAAAACCAGACCATTTCCTGGCACCCTTCCCTGTGGAATGCTCCTCCTGACGCTCTCCTGCCTGCCCATCCTGGGCTGCAGCGCGCTTTCCTGTCCGCCGGAGGGCTCCTGGGAGGCGAGGCGGCGCAGGAGAGGAAGCCGAGCGGCAAGATGGCCACGTCGAGGCTTTCGGTGCGCCCAGCCGCGCGCCTGCTCGCCTCTCTCCCAGGCGGCCGGGCGCCTGCCAGGTGAGCGCTTGGGCAGGGGCTGCAGGGAGGCTGGAGAAGCGGGCCGAGCTGGACGCGTCCTGGGCGCGGCGGTTTGAGGTCTGAGAAGGACTGGCAGGGGACGCAGAGCGGCTTGCACCGGCGGGGAAAGCAGGGCGCAAGTATCCCACATAAGTCAGTCCCCCAGATCCTCGGTGCACGCCTGGCAGTTTTGAGATCGCGAGTCTACAAAAACAGAAACAGAAGCAGCTCCCATTAAGGATCTTCTGCTAAAGTTCTTTCTCTCCCTCCCCGCTTTCCGTGCAACTCTCAGTACTTCCGGAGAAGAAGAAAGAACCCTTGTAAATTTAAAATTAGTTGGAAATAAATAGATCTGTGCCTGTTTATGCCCCTATTAAAGACAGCTGCCTCTTCATAACATCACTTGGCTGTAGTGAGTAGCTGTCCCCAGAATGTACAGTGGTACCTCGGGTTACAGACGCTTCAGGTTACAGACTGCTAACCCAGAAATAGTACCTCGGATTAAGAACTTTGCTTCAGGATGAGAACGGAAATTGCACGGCGGCAGCAGGAGGCCCCATTAGCTAAAATGGTACCTCAGGTTAAGAACAGTTTCAGGTTAAGAACGGACCTCCAGAACGAATTAAGTTCTTAACCTGAGGTTCCACTGTATTGCAAGCAGTGCCAGATTTATGTATAGGCTAAGTAGGCTAAAGCCTAGGGCCTCTAAATCTAGGGGGCCTCCCTAGCCCACCTGCCCCCCAGTAGGCAGTCTGCCTTCTCCCAAAATTGCAAACCCAAGACTTCATGCGATGGCAGGGCAACCCGGGCCCAGCAACTATGAGACTCAGGGCCAGCCAGTGGGGCCCAGTTTGAACCTCTAGGGCCCAACTTGGGGAAAAAAATTGTGGGGCCCTAGTTTATAGCCAAAATCTGCAGAATCTTGGAGATATAAATCTGTGTGCTTGGTCATTTTCACAAGATCAGCAAAGCCCTTAAAAAATCAGACCTGTTACTGAGTTCTTGTGCAAGTTTGTACAGTTCACTTCTGGAATTTTTAAAGAGAAGATTTTGATGAGCTTGAGAAGCAAGCAAAAGCCACCTTGCCAAATGTTAACTACAAAACAAGGAGACAAAGAGTGAGGGAACAGAAGAGCATCTGATACCTTAGATGCACTTTCTTCAAGAGATAAGTTTAGGATAAAATCCTTTATTCCTATATTAGATGCACCTGAAGCCAATTTAAAAGGAAGTACTGTGTACAGTGATGTTGCACAATTGTTTTTCCATTCTTGCTATTCTGATAGCATCTAAGCAAGAAATTCAGCAAGGTGTTGAACTGTTGATGGAAGTATCCCCCGGAAGACCTGAAACCTATTGATGATATTTTGCACTTTCACCTGTACATGAGACAAAGCCATAGGCTTACAGCAGAGCACTCTTTGTCTCATACAGAGCTTTATCAAATTATATACAAGGAAAAAATTCAGATGGCCTTTCCTAATGTGGAAGCAGTTTTGTGGCTATTTCTTAGTTTTATGGTCACTAACTGCTTGGGAGATAGTTTTTCAAGACCCAAAAGAATTAAAAATGAATTAAGGGCCACAGTGTCTCAAGAGAGGTTGTCCACACTGAGCATTCTGTACGTAGAATGTGACAAACTTAGACAAACAGATTTTGATGAAGTTTTCTGATGTCCTTTAGAGGAGAAATTGTGAATTGCAGAATTTTAAATACCCACCATCAACCTTGGCTTCATTCAGTTTTGTTTATAACACTCTTCCATTTTCTTCTCCTCGTGAGTGTGGGGGATGGGGAGGGGCCTCACAAGTGGGGTAGCCCAGGTCCTCTCTGCATCTAAATCCGGCCCTGATTGCAAGGAGGGGTTTTCCTGCCACAGGTTATAAATGCCACCGGCGCAGTCTTTGCCAGAACTGAAGGGGCAAGAATGCTGAATGCTTCACCTGTTTAATTTCTGCCTGCTGCACATCCGTTGATAGCGTGCAAACCCAGCCTCAAAAAAAGGAGGAAGTGTTAATTGCTGGAGGGGGTGCAAGTGGTGCAGATGAGGAGTAATTGCAGTTTGATTGTGATTGTCAATTGCCCCATAATTAGAAGAGGAATAAATTGCCATAGGAATTAAAAGTCAAGTGGCTTGTATCCTTATTTCCAATCCAGAACTCCTGTAAGACTGGAAAAACCAGCTGTGAACTCTGACCCAATTCCTGCCTGTGTTGCGCTGCTTAGATAGTTGCTGTGACATGACAAGGCTGCTGTTGGAAGATACCTTTGCTCTCTTTATCATTTAACTACAAGAGATGATTTATTAAAGGGACAGCCATCGTCTTGGTGGTTTAAAAATAGAAAATTACTTCTTTCTTCCCTCTGGCTTTAAAATATTTAAAGTTCTATTTATAACTCTCTCTCTCTTCTCTCTCTGATGCTGTTGACAAACCAGTCAGTGCATCTTTCACGCCAGGAGACTGTTAGCTGGTGTACAAAGTGCCAGCGTGGCACAGTTCATGTCCAGAGAGCGTTTGAGTCATGCTAGCTGCTAGATGAATGGTTTGGAGAGGTCCTGGCAGAGGGGAAAGTGTGAGGGGAAGAGGTAGGGGAGGATCCACTAATATCCAAAAGTGCAGAAAAGATAATGCTTTATTTCTAGAATTTACCAACCATCCACCATTCAAAAAAAATTGTAGCGGTGCACAAAAACAAAGAAAGGAAGTGCATACAAAATATGAGGTTGAAACAATAAAAATAGATTGAAATGCATTTGTAAAACCAATGAGAACAATAGCAAACAATGCAAGCCTGAAAAGGCCACAAGAGGGCCTCATTTGACCTGAGAGTTCAAGCAGGCTGAAGGTGACCTTGGCTGCTGAGGAGTTTTGCACTCGAGCAGTAAAAGCTTCACCCAGTAGCAGATTGGCAGCCAGTGCTGATCCATTAGCAGTGGTGCCAAGGAAAAGTTGCTTCTATCTATGGTTAGGGAGCACACATGCTGTCAGCTCCCAGTTGGCCAGAGAGGACTCTTACCAGACTACATTTGGTGTTTTGAAATTGTAAATTGCATTGGGCAGAATGGCAGAAGAGTAATATATTTAAATCCAACCAATAAATGTGACAACCAGTCCAGAGGATGGCAGCAGCTGCCAGCTTTTTCCTCTTCGCCTCAGTGTTGCACTGAATACTTTCGTTATTATTTCATCCTTGATTCATATAATTTAGGGATTGTGGCTGACATCTTTTGCAACACATCAGAATTATTAAATTGCTCTTTCCTGTTTTTGCAAGTGAGCATGAATGTGAATAATATTAAGTTTCCCGTAAGATCAGGGAACTGAAATTGTTCTGTGGGGAATACCAAGCCTTTATCAGTTTAAACTGTGAATCAGAAGAGTCTGAATCATAGCTGAACCCCACAGGGCATTAAATGAGGAGTGGAAGAACTATGTAAACCACCTTGAGCTCCATGGAGAAAAGGGTAGGATATAAATGCAACAAATAAATAGGTTTTCAGTGGAAGCTGTGGTGTTATAACTCCCAGTTTTGCCCACATTCTTCCAGAAGTAGTTTGATTGTGACTAGTATTTTGCTTAAAAAAAAAAAATCAGTATAAATGTGATGTTTTTCCTACAGGTCCTCTTATTTAATTTTATTTTTAAAGATATATTCAAACAGAAAATCATGAATCGGCACGCCTTGAAACCTCCTCTGCTAAAACCTTAATGGACATAGGAACTCGGAGGATCTTCTCATCGGATCATGACATCTTCAGGGAAAGTGTAAGAAAGTTCTTCCAGGAAGCTGTGCTTCCACATCATGCAGAGTAAGTTGAAGATTGTAAATCTTGTGGTCTTGCCTGTGGTGGTGTTTGTTAACCGGAGTTCGTTCCCTTCTCCCCCACCCGCCACCTCCTGGTAGAAGCAATGTTAAATTACATGTCGGTTCTTCTAGGAAAAGAGATTATACTTTTGCCAATGGAAATTTCCATCCTACAGTGTTTAGCAACTTTGCAGGACTGGGGTATCTTTGCTGGAACAGTGGCATGGGATAAAAGGATTGCAGAACAAAACCACACACACTGTAGTCCTGATCAGGTCTCTCTGTGGCTAAAAATCCTGCCCTCCCCTTGTTGTGCATTCATGCATTTAACAAAAATATAGTTTGGCCCTTGGTTTAATAATGTAATGCAGCAGGTTAACAAAGGCTGCAACCCTATACCTACTTTCCTGATAGTTTGCCCCATTAAACTTAATGGGACTTACTTCTGAGTATTATTATTATTATTATTATTATTATTATTATTATACCTTGCCTTTTTCCCCTGTAGGCAGCCTACAGATAAAAACAAGAAATGCTTAAAATATAGAAAATCATTAAAAAACCATTAAAAGGTAAAGGTACCCCTGCCCGTATGGGCCAGTCTTGCCAGACTCTAGGGTTGTGCGCTCATCTCACTCTATAGGCCGGGAGCCAGCACTGTCCGCAGACACTTCCGGGTCACGTGGCCAGCATGACAAGCTGCATCTGGCGAGCCAGTGCAGCACACGGAACGCCGTTTACCTTCCCGCTAGAAAGCGGTCCCTATTTATCTACTTGCACTTAGGGGTGCTTTCGAACTCCTAGGTTGGCAGACGCTGGGACCGAACGACGGGAGCGCACCCCGCCGCGGGGATTCGAATCGCCGACTATGCGATCGGCAAGTCCTAGGCGCTGAGGTTTTACCCACAGCGCCACCCGCGTCCCTTTAAAAAAAACCCATTAAGCATGGATAAAATTAAAACTATATATGTATATAATAACTATTGAAACTATACCAATAATTGCAATAATAGCAGCATGACACCAGCTGCAGTCAGTTCTCCAAAGCCTGTTTTTTTGGCTTTTGGGAATTGACTTTTGAGAACAAGGAAGTCTTCACCTGCTGGCAGAAGGACAACAAGGAGGGAGTCAGTCTAGCTTCTCTATGGAGGAACTTCCAAAGTCTGGGAGCAGCCACCGAGAAGGCCTTCTCCCGCTTCCTCACCAAGTGTGCCTGTGAGGGTGGCAGGACCAAGACAGGGGCTTCCTTTATTTATTTTAATTTGGCTGCAGTATCTCCATTGGTGGGGAGGGGAACAAATCCAACGAACACCCCCCCAGTGCTTAAATCTTGCATCTCTGAATCAGCAGGTGTGAGTGTGCACATGATTGAGCATGTGCACGTACAGACACATACAAGCAATCCTCAACTCTTGGTATTGTGTATAGGTTTGCTTCTAAACGTCTTTGTTTTCAGTCAATGCATTTTTATAGAGCAATTCCTCAGTTTTGTGTCCCCCGTCCGGCACACTGTAAAAAAGTATCCCACAGACTCCGCTCAAATCTTGTTTTATTTGCAGGTGGGAGAAAGCTGGACAGGTGAGCAGAGAGCTCTGGGAAAAAGCTGGACAGCAGGGCTTGCTGGGTGTCAATATATCAGAAGAACATGGTGGCATTGGAGGGGATCTTTTCTCTGCAGCAGTCGTTTGGGAAGAACAGTAAGTAGCAAATGCACCGTGAAATAATTTTTTCAATGTCAAGTACCTTTTTGCTCTTGATTTCCTATGGCCATATATTTTGGGAACACTGTTGTTGGCTTCCCCTCCCTTTTGTACCCTGATGGCAGCATTTTAGGGTATTGCTAATTCTTCTGAAATGTATAAAGCCCTGAACAACTTGGGGTGTAGATACCTGAAGGAAAGCTTCTCTGTATATCAGCCTACCCACTTATTGACATCTGCAGGTCATAGTCCTTCTGTGTGTTCCTCAGAGCTCTATGTGTGGTGGTGACTTAGGATAAGGAATTCCATCCCTCCTGAGATACCATTGCCACTGTTGGGTCCATATTTTGACAACGACTAAAAAGTGATCTCATGTTGAGTTGTAGACTGCTTGATCTTATTGTGCAGGACATTGATTTGATGCTAAATGGTAGACTGCTGTGAATCTGGTTGTTGTTGTTTGATGGTAATTTTATGTATTTATGTCAGCTCTTGCTGAGATGTTAAATCAGCCTCTCGGCTGAAATGCTCCCCAGACTACTTGAATGTCCCCCCTATCAGTATATCCTTTCCCATAGAAAATTTATACATTGCAGAGAAGGCTAGGCTATAATCCTTGACCCTGACATGTTACTTTCCATTCCATCACCATCCCCAGACTGCAATGGTACAGTTCAGAAACCCCTAGGGCACTTGATTCCAGTTATCTGTATTTGTGTCAAAATGCCACGCCTTCAGTATGTTGAGAGGCTAGGGTGGAATCTAGACACATAAAAAAGCTGTGAAAATGTTTTTTAAAATATATATATATTTGCCATAGCTCACCATTGCCATCTAGTGCCACATTTGTGTAATGCACTTTACAACACACTTAAAATGTTTTATCTGCAGCTGTATATCTCAGTCCTGGGATGCGGGTGGCGCTGTGGGTAAAACCTCAGTGCCTAGGACTTGCTGATCGTATGGTCGGCGGTTCAAATCCCCGCAGCGGGGTGAGCTCCCGTCGTTCGGTCCCAGCTCCTGCCCACCTAGCAGTTCGAAAGCACCCTTATGTGCAAGTAGATAAATAGGTACCGCTTTATAGCGGGAAGGTAAACGGCGTTTCTGTGTGCTGCGCTGGTCTGGCTCGCCAGATGCAGCTTAGTCACGCTGGCCACGTGACCCGGAAGTGTCTTCGGACGGCGCCGGCTCACGGCCTCTAGAGCGAGATGAGCACGCAACCCTAGAGTCGGACACGACTGGCCCATACGGGCAAGGGTACCTTTACCTTTACCTATATCTCAGTCCTAGATCATGGTCTCTCTCTTTCTCTTTTTCCTTTAAAAAAGGAAAGGCCAGTATGCGGAACTATTGTGTGATTTAACTTATCTTTAAGGAATAATTTTGAACAAGTAAATCCAGTCCCTAGCTTCATAACTTCCCCTCAGTAACAAAAACTTTAGATATCAAAAACAATGGAATTATAAAAATAATTTGATAATTAGGTTTCTCTATGTTTTGATATTGTATTTAAAAATCAGCCTGAAATCAATGTGAAGCTGCTTTTATGAACATCTCTTGACTTCTTTCTTTCTTTTTCAGAATGTATGTTAACTGCACAGGCCCAGGATTCAGCCTTCACTCCGATATTGTCATGCCATATATAGCAAATTATGGTTCAAAAGAGCAGATTAAGAGGTTCATTCCAGAAATGGCAGCTGGCAAATGTATTGGTGCAATAGCTATGACAGAGCCTGGTGCTGGGAGGTGAGCCAAGAAATTATAAAAATTAATTGTTGTAAAAAGTAAGTCCCATTAAGTGTGTGTGCATGTGTGTGCTCTGTAAGATTTCAAATACTTTTGTCTTCCTGTATAAGGTAAAATTGGTGGACCAGTTTGTCAGAGCAAATTCCTCTAACTTTGCTGAACTAGGTCAGAGAGCTAGAGTAGTGGTCGAAAGATGGAGCTGTGAACCAGGAAGGAACCAGTTTTAATTTCTCCTCTGCCACAAATTCACTAAGAGTCCACTGGCAAATCACCATCTGTTGGCCTCTGCTCCTTGTATAAAAACAATGCTAAGTAGCTTACAAGGTTGCTCTTAAGTATTTCTGAGTGTGTAGACAGGAGGAACTGTTAACACTATAAATGCAAAGCATTACTGTTGTTACAAGAAATTATATGCACATGATTCCAAGTGCAGGAGGCAGAATAATTATCAACAGGAAGCTGTTATTCCAGGACTAGATGAAAAAAGAAGCAAAGCACTCACCGCTGAAGTAACATTGGATGCAAATACTCCACATGAAAATTAAGTGTTAATGTATGCTTTAATTTTTCTTGTTACCCTGTTTAGATAATGCTTTTTAAAAAATTATTGTGGCTAATTAGGCTGCAGTCTGAACCCCCGGAGCCTGGCTGCTGGAGGAGGTTAGGATGTAGCAGATGTCCCTGGCTGCTTACCTCTTCCTGCCTCTGCTGTTGGTGGGCTCTTCCTTCTGCAGAGATCCCCATGGCTAATTGAATGCTATTACCAGTAGTGTTCCTGATATGGCTCTGAAACAGGGCATTATGAAGGTGGAGCAGGATCCTAAACTGGTCCATAACTTGGATAGGGGCCAATCTGTGCCGGCCAACTACTGGAGCAGGAAAAAGAGAGAAAGTGCTCCTTCCCACATTCTGCCCTGGCTGGCAAGATCTGGCGAGGCTTTTGATTCTGCTATTCTGTCCCACTGCTCCTTGCTGAGACCTTAGAATTGCTCATTCTGTGATATTATGGCAGCGAACAAAACTGTATTGTAACCTTTGAATAAATGTTTTAAATAATAAAAAAGAGTTGCTCCCTTACTGTGCAATCCTGTGCATGCTTACCTGTGGGTAAGCCGCATTGAATACAGTGGAGCCTCCTTATGGAGGGCAGATTTTGCCCTTATTGCAGCCCTGTTCGTAAGGGCAGTGCTATACTTTCCCCCCTTGTAGGAGTGAATGGCAATGGATCACCATTAGAATAGGATCTATTTTTTCATATCCCTTGTTAACACTGAATTTCCTCCCATATATGCCTAACTCTCTTCTGGATTCTGCTTGGGGTTCTTTTTTCTTTGTTTTTGTTTGTGTGACTATTCGGAGAACTTGGTTTTATATATAATAGATTCCCTGGTGTGTGATCTATCTATGCTGGGGTTATTTAAAAATAAATACTGTGCCTTTTCCTCTGTACTATTAAGAACTGTTTTATTGTTAGCGATTTGCAGGGTGTGCGAACATACGCAAAAAAGGATGGAAGTGACTGGATTCTAAATGGCAGTAAGGTATGTACAGGAAAGGATAAATTATTCTGGATTCAGTGTAGGTTTCATCTTACAGCCCTTTGAGATAATGGCTTCTAAACTGGCCACGGTGGTCTTGCCACTGTACCTTTTGCCAAAGAAGCAGTGCCAAGCTACTTCCCGTTATGTTTTTTACGAGAATTCATGCTGCCAGGTAATGTGGCTACTTCTGCCGGCAGCCTCAAAACTCAATCAGCCTAGCAGGTGCTCTTCTGTACTTCTTTTATCTGGGGAAGATATAAAGACCATCTGAAGAATTTGGCCTTTTCGTGTTCTAACATAGTTGGCCTGCACAGGGTAACCAATGTGCAAATATTTCACAGTTCAAAAGAGTTGGCAGTAGAATGGCTTCCCTGGTATGAAACTGCCTGAGGGGACCAAGGAGGCAAATAAAAACTTGACTACATCAATGCAAAAGAGAAAAAAGAAAGAGTTTACTTTCTCGGTGAGTGTATTGTTCAGGGTTCAAGGAAAATGCCATGCTGGATGCCAACTGCATGCAGCCAGGTTGCTGTTGCTTTGTTATTAGATCCTTTAGTTTGAACTGCTTCTCTTCTTCTCTGATAAAAGTTTGGGGCAGGGAGGAGGAGGGGGAACACCACCTCTCAGTCTACCTCCCAGGTTGTTGTAAGGATAGAATAGATAGCCCCATGTGCAGGACCCTGAGCAAATTGGAGGAAGGCCAGGATACAAAACATTTTCATCAGTCAGTACAATGCCACACAAAGTTGCAGGGCTTTTTAGGATGTAACAGCATTTATTGCCATGTTTGGGAAAAGAGACGAGAACATTGTTAATTTTTTCTATTGCTTTCACTTGTTCACGGCTCTTCTGACATGCTGAAATTAGTTACAGCAAAGTGTTCTGCAGGCTTCGGTGGCATGGTTGATTTTCAGCACAATCCCAAGCATCTTTACTTGGTCAGAATTAAGACTCATTGTCCTCCCCAGGGCTTTACAGCAGCCTTCCCCAACTGGTGCTCTCTAGATATTTTGGACCACAGTCTCCATCATCCCCAAGCAATATGGCTTTGCAGTCTGGGGCTTGAAGTCCAAAACATCTGGAGGGCACTAAGTTTGAGAAGTCTGCCCTAGTTAAGTGTGCTTACTGGATTATAAGTTTACTTTATGCTAATGTTCGGTTTGCTGCTTGCTGCTTCTTTTTTTAAGAGCTTGAGCTGCATTGGAAGAATCGTGAGCCTCTTTTTTTCCGTCTGCCTTACTCCTTGTGATGGGGATCACTTGGCAGTGGGATATCTTTGGGTCTCTTCTGTATCCTGTCCTGTGAACAAGAATTCAAAGTGATCTTGATTAAACTAGACAATTAGCACGAAAGCTGCAAGATAAAACGAATAAGCAATGGTTTGCTCAAAGAGAAATCCACCAGTAAAAACTGGAATGGCTGACTCTATGGTAGCATTGTTGTGATGGGTTCCCCTCTCCTCCATGTGAATGTTCATTGCAAATCACCGCTGCATTGTAAATGGCTGCAGCTGCTTTGGAGTTCCTTAACAGAGACCCTGTCTCCAAGACAAAGAAAGTCATAACAATAGTATGTAGCTACTTTATCCCACTCCACTGTATTGCAGGTGTTCATTACTAATGGTTGGATGAGTGATGTAGTAATTGTCGTGGCTGTTACAAACCGTGAGGCCCGTTCCCCTGCTCATGGCATTAGCCTCTTTCTGGTAGAAGAAGGAATGAAAGGATTCATCAAAGGGCGTAAACTTGAGAAAATAGGACTTAAAGCACAGGTGAGTCGTTGGAGTCTGAGAAGCCACTCTGATGATTGCCTGTGATGAATGCAACTTGAGGAATGACATAAATATTCTAAAACTATTAAGAAGTGTATTATTTAGCACTAAAATAGAGAGCAAAATTGAAAGGTGGGTGCAGGACCACACATCACACAAAGGAGCCCTTTACCCAGAAGCTACTTGTGCAGCGGCATCCCATGGTGGTGGCAGCCACCTTTGGCATCTCATGTGTCTGCCCCTTTGACACAAAGTGAGCTGTGGGGCAGGAACCTGATCTTAGCATCAAAAGTGGTGCATTGGTGAAGACAGCTTAACTTCCACTGCCCCAGTTCCCCAAGGTCAGTTTCCCAAACTCCTGCTCTGTGTATGTATATATGTCCTGCCCCAACCCTGTTCCAGTAATGGAAGTGAGCCCATCTGAGAAAAGTACAGTACCTGGGTTGATGGAGGGGTGGGATTTGTCTCCTGTCCCCCATGCATGATGTTAAGTATTAGGCACACCCTACGGCTCACCAAGTGTTGGCGGTGGGACAGACATTTGAGACAAACATGACTACTGCTGCTACATTGCATTTGGTCCTTAGAAAATGGATGTGGTGAGCTATAACTTTCATCAGCAGTTTGACTTCTGAGCCTGTGTGTATGAAGGGAACAAGAAGCAGACTTGCAAAATGGTGGTAGCAAATTTTCTGTGTGATTTTTTTTAAATTAGGACACGGCAGAGCTGTTTTTTGAAGATGTCCGCCTGCCTGCTGGGGCCTTGCTTGGACAGGAGAACAAAGGCTTCTATTATCTAATGGCAGAGCTTCCTCAGGTAGGGGAGACATAAAACCACACTGAGGCACACAAAGGCATGACTTGTTCATTGCAGCAAACTGCCAGCAACAGATTGCGTGGTGTGACATTTGATCTCCGACACAGGATTTCAGCAGCCACCACCTGCTGATCTCAGCGTGGGTTTTTTGCTGCTTCATGTTGGAAATACTGCATTTGAAACTGATGTGTGATCTTCTTTCTACTGGGTTACAGACCTGTGTGTTAATTTAAGAGATCACAGCTTCCTAAGAATTATCAAAATGGTTTGATAATGTAACTGATTTTTGCCATGCCAGTTTAATATTAAAATGATTGTGGATGGACAATTTGATTTCAAATTATGATACCATATTGAGTAGATCTGTTGCAGACGCATTTGATCGCAGCATAATGGATAACTGTTGTTTAACATTAGTGACTCCATCTTCAGCTGTTCCATTCTGGAGCTGGCACAGCGAAAAATGAGAAAAAATCCCGTCCCATCCACCTTCTAGTCTGGCTGGCGCGAGTAGCAAGACGAGATGAGGCAGTCAGTGTTCTGCTCGCTGTCTGGGGTAGGGTTGGGTCATATCTGCTTTTCAATATTGTGATAGATCACCTGCTGAACATCACGTCATCCTGATATCTCACAATGTCTGAAAAAAGGATGTAACTATGTAGAGGCAAATGGGGTAATGTCTTGGCAACAGCTACTTCTTAGGAGAGTAAAACTGATACCTATTTACTTATCTTTAAGATATTGCCCCGATTCTCGTAATTTGAACATAGCTTCTGCATATGGCCCTACATGCATATATTCCACGTCCAATTTTTCTCAGGATGCATTGTTGTTATGCGCCACCCCAAACTCGAAGAGCGGTGCAAGATTCCAGGGGTTGCAGGTGCGCTTTACATGGAGTCTATTTCCCTTTGGACAGTGAGGCATAGAAAAGACTAATGTCTTTACAATATATGATTTATTTACACACACACACACACACACACACACATATACAACCTGAGGAATTTAGGGTGTGTGGCACCCCACAAACTCCTAACAATATATTGTGTGTTCAGAATGTACATACATGAGGTGCATGTACGTAGGTCGCCTGTGTGGACAGGTTCTCAGGCGCATGGATGCAAAGTGGTAATCTCACCCCCCCCCCCGCTGTGCTTATACACTACACACTTTGGCCATCAATATAGGGCTGATGTTGCTATTCTAGACACATGTCTAGCAATTTGGATCTGGGACTAAAAATTTTATATCCAAATTGAACCGTGTGGGGATTTTGAAGAATGTTAAAAATATTAGAAGCTTAATTCTGGTCCACGTCACTTTTAAAGACTGGGAAGACTAATTTAGCTTGTGATGAAAGGGCAGGGAATATCAAATACAGAACTGTGCATACGAATAGCTTTTCTGTGGTAATGAGCACATGTGAGAATGTTTTCTCCCTCCATCTCTTAAGGAAAGGTTGTTGATTGCTGATATGGCAATTGCCAGTTGTGAATTCATGTTTGAAGAGACAAGAAACTATGTTAAACAAAGAAAAGCTTTTGGAAAAACAGTTGCACATTTGCAGGTAAGCATTTAGGCATGTTTCTTTGTCCTGTAAAGTCATAATAAATGTCTGAATCCCATAAAGCATATATTACTCTGACAAGCTCTGACACCACACTTCAGACTTCCGGTTTGATTCACCTAATGTGCAATCGGCCTTTCCCCCCTCCCCTTGGCCCCAGATTTGACTCTAAGATAGCTGGGAGAACCTCCTGGATGGTACATGGGGTAAGGGGAGACGGTGACATCTGACAAACTGCAAGGCTTGCGCTTGTGGAATGTTCACCACAGCGAGACATTGAATTCCACCCTATGGCTGTATATGCACATCACACTAAAAACATAGTTTAGCAGCATATTCATGAGTCAGTTCACCATTTTTTCCTCAAGAACTTAATTTTTACAAGTGTAAATTTTAGAGAAATCCATAGAATTGGTCCTGGATACAGTACAGCATGACAAACCTGATATACCCTGAGAAAACAGTAGCCTTCTGGGTGAAATGAATACTTTCCTTGCTAGCAATTTCAAACAAAATCTGGGTTCAACCTCATATAATTTATTGCCTTTTCTCCCCTACCTCACCCTGCCTTCTGTCTTTATACTGGTTCTGTTCTCTCTGCCAAGCGGTGCTTCTCAAACTTGGGTCTCCAGCTGTTGTTGGACTACAACTGCCATCATCCCTGACCACTGGTCCTGCTAGTAAAGGCATCCCTTTACTAGCAGATGGGAGTTGTAGTCCAAAAACAGTTGGAGACCCAAGTTTGGGAAATACTGATAGGTATCCACTTCTCACCAGACGCTTTGCCTGTATTGTCTCATTTCCGTTTTCCCAGGCACCTTCCACGTAGCACATCTATATCTGTGCTTCCTTGGAGCACCTCCACAGGTCTCCCTGATGCGACAGTGGCTTACCTTCGCAAATGTTTCCCAGAGTACACAGTGTAATGTACATTTTAAGAATAGTTTGGAACTTTGTGGGTGGTGCATTCTGTGCCGTGGGAGAGTAGAATTGAACCTGCCAGCCTATGGATCATTAACCCACATAAAATATAGGAGAGGTACATTATGGGGTGCCTGACCCGATCTTCCATTTCAAATAGCCCTCTTAATTTTCAGTGCTGCTCAGTTCTAATGGATCTTACTCCCAGGTAAATAAACTGCATTTTCTTTCTTGAATTGGAAGACTGTGCAGCACAAGCTAGCAGAACTGAAAACGCAAACATGTGTAGGTCGTACGTTTCTGGATAGCTGTCTCCAGCTCCACTCCGTGAAACGGCTGGATTCTGCCACCGCTTCAATGGCCAAGTACTGGTATGTGTGTTAAACAAGTTATCTAACTTTCCATATAACATCTCTGTCTTTTGAACAGTTACATTGAACATAACCTCATATGGTTGACAGGCTGTGAAAGGCCTTTCTTACAGGGGTGCGAAGAATTTCCTGGGGGGTGACAAATGCCTCCATGATCCTTCCTTCAGTTTAATTTTGCTACTTCTGTGCACAAATACTTGTGCATATGAGAAGTGGGATGCACACCCCAGGGCTCATTTTGAACAGCAGGATTGATTTTTAAAAATGGAAGTAAAAGTTCCTGAAATGGTTAGGAAAGTGCAACTACTTCTTAAGTAGAACAGGAGTTGTGTTTAACATAGCATGAAGCAGATCACACAATCAGCACAGGGATTTCCCCTTGCACCACAGAACGTTCTCATCCCCACAGTGTAATATTGTTCTGAGTTCCCCTCCAGCCCTCTGGAACAGATTTGGAAGTCCCACCGGGGAGGAGAGGTGGGGGAAGCCCATTGTGCTAATGCTAATCCTTGCACTTGTGCAACTATTTAGGTCTGGATGCTCCACATGAGGCCATTCAACACTTAAGTGCAAGAAAGTTAACAGTAACAGCAAATACATCCTGATAGGCTGCCACCACAAACGAAATGTGAAAACCCCCCTCAAAGTTAGCCTTTGCCAGCCTGGGGTTGGACTAGATGACCCTCTGGGTCCCTTCCAACTCTATCAGACATTTTGGACTTCTGCCAGCAAAGGCTCCTCTAGGCTCTTTGGGAGGGTGTCTGAGCCCAGCTGACAAGGACTTCTCTACTTAAGCCAAGCTCTAGAAATATAAACAGTAAGGAGCTTGATATTTACTTTGCTACAGCTAAGGGGACACAGAACAAAACCCTGTGAAATGTCATTGGAACACAAGGGGGTAGCTTAACAGCCTCCAGCACACAGGGAAAATTATTAATGATAAATACATTTTAAAGCAGTGAATTTAAATGCCCAAGTATTTAAAGAATGTTTGATGAGAGGAAATGGAAGGTGACTATCACACACAGGCTTGCAAATAAAATCAGTAAAGTCAATCTAACTTTGCTGATTATACCTTCTTGCCTGACCAAACAGTGTTCCTTGTGAGAAAGAAGTTCTGAAAGAGAATGAGAACGTCTTTAGGTTCCTGATTTAGATCAAGCCTGTCATATTTTTTGGAAATTGGAGACCAACAAAAGCTGCGGTCTTAATGGAGGTGCATTGTTTCGTGAGACCAATGGCAGGAGAGTCTCTGCCTTTGATGTAAGGGGTCTAGGCAGCAGACCAGAAATTCATTTAGTGGTTAGTTCCACTTCCTTGATAATTCTAGACTTCCACTGCAAATCAGTTAGCTATTGTGAAAAAGGGGTTAATGCGAAAATGTGCACTGGGAAATTAAAAATGCAATATATATGCCTATTCAGTATTCACCACAGTGGGTGTCAAATACCAGGCATCAGGAGGCACTGTTGGGAATATTTCAGGATGTAGGGGGCTCGTCACAATAGCAGCAGGCAGGGAATTAAAATGGAAAGAAAACAGAAGAATGTGACAGAGGGTTGTTTCTTGATTGTTCGTCACTAAGAATACTAGTCACGCTCACACCCCATGCAGCACTTGTAGTAGCACAGATGCTGCCTCTAGATGAGAAAAATGCCTTGTCCTCAAAATAATATGATGCCATGAGTGAGGTGAGGTCTATATACCAAATGAACACTGCGTTTATTGGCTATGAACTAGTCTGGAAAGGCAATTAGAAAGTAGGAAAGAATCTGGCTGCCTGACTACAATGCAGTACAAATGGGTGAGGACCCTTTAATAAAAGACTCTGGCACCCATTACTGGAAATTACTGGGTTCCTTAGATTTGGAAACTGGGTATGCTGTGTTGGTTTTAAAGCAGTGTTGGCTACTTGCAGTCCTTGAACTGAATAAAGTTTGTCAGCTGATTTATTCAGGAAGATCTTGTATTTCTTTTTCTCTCCCTCCTCCTCTTTTGAGGTAGACAAGTCATCTTGACCTCAGCTTCTAAATTGCTCTTGGCAAAATACAGCTTGAAGAGACCATGATATTAGAAGTCTGGCTTCCATAACAATGCTTAATTGCTGAGCTGAATGGCTTTTGGAAACCATAACACGATCTTATTACAAAACGGCTGAAGGTTTATCAAATAAGTAGTTCCATATAGCATGCTGCATAAACATAGACTCGGTATTTTTCACCAAGCATTTCCCCAAATCTCTCTGGCTCTTCAGGGTGGAAATGTTGCCCACTTGCCATGTTATAACACATCCTGACCTGGGCTGCCTCTTTAGAGTTCCATTTTTCATTAGCCAGAAAAAGCCGCTGGGTTGTTATTGCTGTTACATATTAACTTATGTTTTACCAGACAGAGTTAGACAAGTAAAAACAGCTAAGGTAATACTTTGTACTGATGCCAGACTGAATTAACTACATGGTTGAAAGAAATCAGATGCTAGATTAGAAGGACAGAAAACATTTTTGTGAGGCTATACTGATTTTTCTCTTGTGGAAACTATAGAAAGAGAAACACACACCAATAACAAAGTCCAGATGGGGTATTTCCAGTTATGGAAAAGAAATTTGGGTATAAATGCCTGATAGGAAAGTAATTTTACTTAGCCTCTAAGAAAAGGAAATCACCATTGTCTTTTTGTCTGTGCAGAATGATTAACTATAGTCATAACCACATGGTGAATACTGCAGCCCATGGCACCCATATCTTATCCCTTAATAAAACTCCTTATAGTTTCCTTAAGTAAAGCGGTTTCTTGGTATCATTACTGAGTATGACTCTGGCTGTATTCAGATAGAGCTGTTCTCTTTTTACTGCTGCATGGGAAAAGATCCTAGAGTGTGCGTGCACATTCTAAACTGGAATAGAAAACTCAGCGCTGGGACAAAAGTACCAATCAAACTGTGTTGCCTAGGTAATGCTTTTATCACTAAGGAAAGCATTACATAAAACCAAGAATTGTAGGGGGCTAGATTCAACTAAGGGTTTCCCACTACTGGAAGCCAATTCAAGGTCTTGTGCTAGTGCAATATGGCTTTTCCCTGTTCTCTCCCTTTGTACCCCCCTCTCCTTCCAAATTGGCTCGGGAGGGTCTGGAGAACCCCCAGAACACGATTTGGGGGGGGGGGGAGATATTGTTCCCTGGCAGAGTGATCTCCTTAGTGCTGCATTGAATTCCCCTCTAAATGTTGCATCAACCTGCATTTGAAACCTTTTCTACAGCCAATACATTATTTTGAGCATCATGCAAGCTATTTCAAAATGGTGATTATTAAAAGATCATGGTGGTGCAACTTATTTAAGAGATATAAGCTCAACTGCTTTGGAAACAGATTTTCTCTCTGTTTAAGGGCTTCTGATCTCCAAAACAATGTGGCTACTCAGTGCGTGCAACTCCATGGAGGATGGGGATATATGTGGGAATATCCAATTGCAAAGTAAGTACGACTACTTTTTATCCTCACAGGCATGCCTGTTGTTCGGGAAAAGCTGATCATCCATAAAGAGAGATGTTTCAGTGGTCTTTTACTTATCCAGTTAAGTCTACAAGCTGGGAAACGATGTTTGTATTCTTTAAGTACAAAATGTTGACACGGGAATTTTAATTGGGCCCCTGTGTCCTCTCTGTGTCCAGTGACTGATTGAAACCTGAACACTTACCTTTAAACAGGATTAAGGCAGTTTCTTCCAAAACGTAAAACTTCATTATCTATTGGTTGTGAAGAAGAGGAGTTGCAGAACATTACAATCAATAGGTCTAGAGAAACTGAGACTGGTGCTTGAGCTGAAGTACTAACCAGTTTCTCTTCAGATGAGAAACTGTTAGGACAGTGCTGCCATGCAGATGTTTCAGCATCATTATTAATATGATTTAAGGATGACAGTGGGCCAGTTTGGACCTCACAAGCTGCGGCAACGAACAGTACTTAAGATCTCAGTTAAGTAATGTGTGGCTCATCACCCAACCTTTGGGGTACTTTGAGATATATTATTTGTCTCTATGGTCAAAATTATGTCCTGTTGTCTTTTCAAACATTTAAGGTCCCATCATTTTATTCCTAAGAATTACTGTGTATAAGACTAGGTCTTTTTCCTAAAAAATAATGTCAAAAATTAGGGGGACGTCTTATAGATGGGAAAAAACGAGATTAGATAGATAGATAGATATTGCTTGTAAGGAACTTTATTGGAAAACCTCTAAACACATATGGTCTTTTATGGACAGACCAGAACTTCTTTTGAAATGACTGAAGCATCTGGAAAATAAATTAAAAATGGTTATTATTAACAAGAATATAAATGTTAGACAGTGTGCTAGTGTAATCATCAATATGACAATTAGCTTTGTATCTTACTTTCTCCTTGTTGTTGTTACTTTTTAAATATTTATCTTTATAAATAAATAAACAACATAAAAACAATTTTCTCCTCAAAGCTTAACATAGTGAGGGAGAATGTAACAGACTCTGATGAAACAATTGCTCTGTAAAAACTACCGTAATTTAAGCAGTGCACACTTGAAGATTAAGAGCAGTTTTCTCCCAGGATCCAAGCTTGTATCCCTGATGACACACGTTTCTATTTAGAAGTACTAATATGTTTTGCAATCTACTCATTGACATTTTTCTCTAGATCTTTTGTAGATTCTCGTGTTCAGCCAATATATGGTGGTACTAATGAAATAATGAAAGAGCTCATTGCTAGAGATATCGTGATCGACAAATAGGCATCTATTTATACTAACGGATAGTTCCAGATCCCATTTCCACTGATAAGGAATTACATTGTGCCAAAAATAAAAATAAGGAGACAGTATGGGTCTAATTGAAGAAGAAATAGCAGCAAAAGCCTGTTTAGACATTAACAATAAAAATGTTTGTTTTTGTTGATCTCCAGTGTTTAACTTAGAATAACTGTTTATGATTTATTTCTCTTATGATTTAACTCCCCAAATGCAAAAAACTCTTACAAGTATTTGGACTACAAGCACAAAATTCATGATGTCATCTAAAGCTGAATTATTTAAAACCTAATGCAATTCTTTTCTGTTCTGTTCTGTTGGAGGATGATGTGAAAAATTTCTACTGCAGAAACTGTAAAGCTCTTTGGAAATAAATGTAGGCCCATTTCTGACAAAAAAGAAATAAATATAGCTCTCTAATGATCTGAATGGGTATGCTTCTCTATAAGCAAAGAAGACAACGGGTGGGCAGTTAATCTTCTAACATTACAGATGATTGCACAAAAAGAGTGCCATTTGTATGCAGCCTAAAGTGCCTTCCAACATGTAACTGTATTTTGTATATGACAATAAAAGAAAAAACTTATATAATAGTAATATCATAGTCCAGTAATATCTTTGATATCTTTTGAGTCAACAGCTTGAAAGTATCATGATACCTGAGGTGCTCCAAACTGTACTGCAAGATGTGACACACTGGGTGTGCAACATGACACCTATTAAATGTGGCAATAGCTTAAATAACTTCAGAGACCTGGTACCTAGCCATCAATTAAATCAGGGGTTGCCAACCTTTTGAGGCCCCTGTGCACATTTGCAAACTGGAGAAATGATCATGGGCGCTACCCAAAATTTGCAATCAAGCACATAACCCTCCTATTTGATTGGTTAAAACAGAATACTTCTTTGGAGTCTAATTTCAATGGAGGAAAGGGACTCAGTGGGTGCCATGGAACGATTGGAAGGCTTGCTGATTGGAAGGTCGGCAGTTTGAATCCCCACGACGGGGTGAGCTCCTGTTGTTCGGTCCCAGCTCCTGCCAACCTAGCAGTTTGAAAGCACGTCCAAGTGCAAGTAGATAAATAGGTACCGCTGCGGCGGGAAGGTAAATGGCATCTCTGTGCACTGCTCTGGTTTCGCCAGAAGCGGCTTAGTCATGCTGGCCACATGACCCGGAAGCTGTACGCCGGCTCCCTTGGCCAGTAAAGCGAGATGAGCACCGCAACCCCAGAGTCGTTCGCGAGTGGACTTAATGGTCAGCGGTCCCTTTACCTGTATGCAAAGATTGCATGGGTCTAAGAGTCTCTTACATTGACTTTCATTGCCATTTTGCTCTCTTCTCCCCTGTAACCTTATTCGTAGTCCTATGTGAACAGACTTACATGGAAGTTACGCTTCTTTGAGCTCAGTTCTAGGGGAGGAGGGAGGGGTTGCAGCCTCAGAAGAAAGCTTGGGGACAGATGCTGCTTTGTTGTGAAATAAATGGTTGGTTGTGCTCAAAGACTGTTGAGTTTGTAAGGAGTTGCCATCTTTAAGCTTTATTCTTAGAACAAGTGCTGTGATTTGAGTGATATCTCCAGGAAACACACACACAATTTATGCAGGAGAGCTTTAAACCGTAGAGCATAAAACTCTTAACCTCAGGGTCCTGGTTTCGAGCCCCACGTTGGGCAAAACATTCCTGCATTGCAGGAGGTTGAACCAGATGGCCCTCGTGGTCCCTTCCAAGTCCACAATGCTATTGATAACACACACACTCCTGGAAGTCGACCCACCGCCCACGCCGCCTCATTTGCATAGGCCCGCCCACCGGCCCTCCGGATTGGCCGGCCGACTCCCGCGGGAGCCCCGCCCACCCCGCCTAAACTACCGCCCGCGCGCGGCCGCTCGGGCTGCTGAGGCAGCTTGGCTCGGGAGCGCAGGGCGGGCGGCTGTTGGGAAAGGCGGCGCCGCCGCCGCGAGTGCGAGAGACGGGCAGAAGAGAAGCGGCGGCGGGAGAGGAAAGCGCGAGTCCCTCTGAGGAGAAGTTCGCCGGGCTGCGCGGCGGGGGGAGCGGAGGAGGCGGCCGGGGAACAGACCGAAGTTGGCAGGCAAGTCCGGGCGGAGGGGGAGGGGGATCGCGACGGTTCCCCTGAGGGGCGTCGGGAGAGGCGGTTGGCTTCATGCCGAAGCAGGGGCTCCTTGGTGGCGCGCGGGCGACTCGCCTCCCCTCAGGCGAACTGGCCGAGTTCTCCGCAGCGCCCTCCCTAACGGCAGTGGAGCGGCGAAGGGGTGGGATTTGGGAGAGTGATGGGGTGGCGGCCAATGGGGAGGAGCGCGGCGGGGGCGTTGGAATGCGAGGGGAGGGGAGCGGAAAGTAGATGCTCGCGCGCCCCGGCGGAGGGAGGGGGGTGGCGTGACGTGGAGCCGTGGGGGCGGAGCCAGCGCCCCAGCCGGGTGTATCGGGAAAGGATGGGACAAGCTTCTCAGGAAGCCCCGAAGGAGGGTCGGGGAGCAGCTGCGTGGCTCTGCGGGACAAAGCCCCGAAAGACCGGAAATGGGAACTTTTGCCTAATACTGGTATGGGGAGGGGGCAACTACCGCATTTGTCTGTCTTTTTTACTCACACTTAAATGCTGTTTTAGATATGAGTGATGCCTGTGAATCCAGATATATCGCCTCCTTTAGCATTACTTCAGCTTTGCACTTTCCAACACAGTTCGTTCCCTCATGGGGAAGTACCTAGGTATATTAGTTGCTGGAGAGTACTGGTATAGAATTGGGACGCGGGTGGCTCTGTGGGTTAAACCACAGAGCCTAGGACTTGCCGATCAGAAGGTTGGCAGTTCGAATCCCCGCGACGGGGTGAGCTCCCGTTGCTCTGTCCCAGCTCCTGCCTACCTAGCAGTTCAAAAGCATGCCAGTGCAAGTAGATGAATAGGTACCACTCCGGCAGGAAGGTTAACAGCGTTTCTGTGTGCTGCTCTGGTTCACCAGAAGCGGCTTAGTCATGCTGGCCACATGACCCGGAAGCTGTACACTGGCTCCCTTGGCCAGTAAAGCGAGATGAGCGCCACAACCCCAGAGTCGGCCACAACTAGACCTAATGGTCAGGGGTCCCTTTACCTTTACTGGTATAGAGTTCTGTTGCACTTGCCCTGCTTGCAGGCTTCTCAAAGGCATCTGGTTGGCCACTGTGAGAGCAAGATCTGTGGCAAACTTTGTGTTTTGAAATTTCAGTGCCCAGTGTGGGTGAACCAGGCGTACTCCCATAAATCTGCCTCTGGTTAGATGGGCCTTGGGCCTGATCCAGCAGGGCTTTCCTTGCATTCTTATAACAGTCAGACTGGATGGGACAATGGCAGACATTCAGCTGCTACCACAGCCCTGTGCATTCGGACGGGCCGTTTAAAGTGTTATTACTTGCAGGTGGTAATGGTGAGCATGCCTTATTATACCTAGGAAATGGAGTTAATGAAAGCCACATTGATAAATATTTATGGACTGCTATTGAGTGAATGGAAATTACTGCTTCATATGTAAATGTATGTAACTTGGCTTGCTGCCAAACCTTTAGCCTTGCAGATAAAAATTGGTACAAAAGACCAGGATAGAAATATCGTCCACAGTTCCTACAGTCATGTGGGTAGCTTGCTGGACTTGCCACTCAAGATTTTCTGATATAAGATGAATTAGTAATACCTTCCAACGTGGTAGCTAACTGTATTGAAAGGTTGCAGTGTTTGAGACTTATTAGTTTAGATTAGGGCTTGTCCACACTTCCACTTGTCCCTCCTCTTCCCCCTTGTTTACCACTGAATTGGAATAAATGTCAGGTTTTCTGCGGATTGACATTGATAGTGGTAGCTCGGGTTAGGAACTTAATTCGTTCTGGAGGTCCGTTCGTAACCTGAAACAGTTCTTAACCTCAGGTACCACTTTAGCTAATGGGGCCTCCCACTGCTGCTGCGCCGCCAGAGCACGATTTCTGTTCTCATCCTGAAGCAAAGTTCTTAACCCGAGATACTATTTCTGAGCTAGCAGAGTCTGTAACCTGAAGCGCCTGTAACCCGAGGTGCCACTGTATTCTGATTCAGCGGTAAAGGGTGGGTTTTCCCGAGGAAAGTGGTGGGGCAAACAGAAAGCCACTCAGACTTGTTTTTCTCCTCCGCTTATAACACTAGAACTTGTACAAATTCAATGAAGCTGAATATTGTAAGATTTAGGACAGACAAAAGGCAGGACTTATTCATGCAGCACATAGTTGGAAGTATAGCATTTGCTCCCCTGTGAGGCAGTGATGGTGACCAACTTGGATGGCTTAAAAAGAGGATTAGACAAAATTGTGGAAGAGAGGAGCTGTCAATGACTAGTAGCCCTGATGACACTGATCTATCTCCATGGTCAGAGGCACTAATGCTTCCGAATACATGTTGCTGGAAGCCACGGAAGGGAAGAGCGGTCTTGTGCTCAGATGCTGCTTGCAGGTTTTCCACATGCATTTGGTTGGCCATTGTGAGAACGGGGGTGCTGGACTAGATGGGCCATTGGCCTGATCTAACAGACTACAGTGGTGCCTCGCAAGACGAAAAGAATCCGTTCCGCGAGTCTCTTCGTCTTGCGGGTTTTTTCGTCTTGCGAAGCAAGCCCATTAGAGGTTTAGCGGCTTAGTGCTACAGTATTAGCGGCTTAGCCGGCTTAAAGATCAGCTGATAAGCGGCTTAACGATCAGCTGATAAGCGGCTTAAAGATCAGCTGATAAGCGGCTTAACGATCAGCTGATAAGCGGCTTAGCATCAGCTGTTAAGCGGCTTAAAGGTCAGCTGATAAGCGGCTTAGCATCAGCTGTTAAGCGGCTTAAAGATCAGCTGATAAGCGGCTTAGCATCAGCTGTTAAGCGGCTTAAAGATCAGCTGATAAGCGGCTTAGCCATCAGCTGATAAGCGGTTTAGCGGCTTGGGAAAAAGGGGGGGGGGAAACCCCGCAGGAACTTGCAAGACATTTTCGTCTTGCAAAGCAAGCACATAGGAAATTCGTTTTGCGAAGCACCTCCAAAACGGAAAACCCTTTCGTCTAGCGGGTTTTCCGTCTTGCGAGGCATTCGTCTTGCGGGGCACCACTGTATTCTTATGTTCGACCATTGGTTCAATGTGTTTAAGTTCTGTGATGGATGGCAGCACCTCTCCAATACTTAATGTAACTTTTCCAGGTTAATACTTGAGATCTTCAACTGAAATTCGGTGAACTGGATGTGTTCTATATGCAAACTTGCCCTTTACCACATTAAGCTGCTCTTTGTCAAATAAGTATATTTTTGATTAAATGACATGGTTTTGTTTATCTGGTAGTTAAAGCAGTACAACAGCTGGGGTAGAGGACCTTATGCTCTTCAGCACTTCCTTATGCTCTCCAGCACTTCCCTTTTATAATTGTCAGCCTCCTCTGGAGGAGAGATGAGGGAGCCAAGTTTGAATCACAAATGGACTTATCCACCCAGGGGTCGTTTACCTTTACAATGTAGCCTGGTGAGAAGACCCCATCCCCTTTGCTCTGTACTAACAAATTGTATAAACTATTTCTTTATAACATTGCATTTTTTTCTTTGATTGTTGAGTTGTTGACTTTTGTCCTATTTGAATATTGTCCTCTTTGAATATTGATATTCTGTTTAGTAAGAGAGAAATCTATGAAGGCATGCAGATGGGATTTATATTTGCTCTTTCATAGAATCATAGAGTTGGAAGAGACCACGAGGGCCATCGAGTCCAACCCCCTGCCAAGCAGGAAACACCATCAGAGCACTCCTGACATATGGTTGTCAAGCCTCTACTTAAAGACCTCCAAAGAAGGAGACTCCACCACACTCCTCGGCAGCAAATTCCACTGTCAAACAGCTCTTACTGTCAGGAAGTTCTTCCTAATGTTTAGGTGGAATCTTCTTTCTTGTAGTTTGGATCCATTGCTCCGTGTCCGCTTCTCTGGAGCAGCAGAAAACAACCTTTCTCCCTCCTCTATGTGACATCCTTTTATATATTTGAACATGGCTATCATATCACCCCTTAACCTCCTCTTCTCCAGGCTAAACATGCCCAGCTCCCTTAGCCGTTCCTGTTAAGGCATCGTTTCCAGGCCTTTGACCATTTTGGTTGCCCTCCTCTGGACACGTTCCAGTTTGTCAGTGTCCTTCTTGAACTGTGGTGCCCAGAACTGGACACAGTACTCCAGGTGAGGTCTGACCAGAGCAGAATACAGTGGCACTATTACTTCCCTTGATCTAGATGCTATACTCCTATTGATGCAGCCCAGAATTGCATTGGCTTTTTTAGCTGCCGCGTCACACTGTTGGCTCATGTCAAGTTTGTGGTCAACCAAGACTCCTAGATCCTTTTCACATGTACTGCTCTCAAGCCAGGTATCACCCATCTTGTATTTGTGCCTCACATCTGCCAGTTCTTTTAATACTCTTGGATGCAGTTCATCTGGCCCTGGAGACTTGAATACATCTAAACTAGCCAAGTATTCTTGTACTATCTCCTTAGTTATTCTGGGCTGTGTTTCCTTTGCTGAATCATTTGCTTCAAATTCTTCAGGTCGGGCATTGTTTTCTTTATCGGAGAAGACTGAGGCAAAGAAGGCATTGAGGAGTTCAGCCCTTTCTGTGTCCCCTGTTTGCATTTCACCATCTTCTCCTCTGAGTGACCCCACTGTTTCTTTGTTCTTCCTTTTGCTACGAACATACCCAAAACCGCCTTGTTTGTTGCTTTTAACCTCTCTCCCAAGCCTGAGTTCATTCTGCGCTTTCGCTTTTCTGACTTTGTGTCTACACGTGCTGGCTATTTGTTTGAATTCCTCTTTGGTGGTTTCCCCCTTTTCCATTTTTTGTACACATCCTTTTTTAATCTTAACTCAGTTAAAAGTTCTTTAGATAGCCACCCTGGCTTCTTTAGGCACCTTCCATGTTTCCATCTCATTGGTATTGCCTGACGTTGTGCTTTTACTATCTCCCTCTTAACACACTCCCAGCCATCATGAACTCCCTTTCCTTTTAGTATTACTGTCCATGGGATCTCACCCAGCACTTCCCTAAGTTTTATGAAGTCGGCTTTCTTAAAGTCAAGAAATTGAGTCCTAGTATGCTTGGCTGCTCCTTTCCGCTGTATAGTAAACTTCAGAAGAGCATGATCACTCGCGCCTAATGATCTTTCCACTTCTACCCCACTAACCAGGTCATCAACATTGGTTAGGACCAGATCTAAAATGGCTGTTCCTCTTGTTGCTTCTCCCACTTTCTGGACAATGAAGTTGTCTGCAAGGCCATTGAGGAATCTGTTTGACCTTATGCTCTTGGCTGAGTTTGACATCCAACAAATATCCGGGTAATTGAAGTCCCCCATTACTACTATCTCCCTTCCTTTTGCATGCTTGGCCATCTGTTCCAGGAAGGCATCATCTATGTCCTCCGTTTGGCTTGGGGATCTATAGTAAACTCCCACAATGAGGTCACTGTTATTCTTCTCTCCCTTAATTTTGACCCAAATGCTCTCACTTTGGCTTTGAGGTTCTAAATCTTGGATCTCTTCACAGGTATACACATCCCTGACATATAACGCCACTCCTCCTCCTTTCTTGTCTGGTCTGTTTCTCTGAAAGAGATTGTATCCCTCCATTACATTCCAATCGTGGGACTTATCCCACCAGGTTTCAGTGATGCCTATTATGTCATATTTAGTTTGCTGTACCAAGAGCTCAAGCTCATCTTGTTTATTTCCCATGCTTTGCACATTAGTGTACAGACATTGAAGTCCATTCTATTCGCAGCATTTGTAGATTTTAAAGCAGCCTTTGACTCCATCTCAAGACCCCGACTCTGGGACAAACTCAACAAATCATCCATAGACCGACGTCTTCTGCTATTAATATCCAAACTGTACAACAACACACGACTTCATATAAGATGTAGCCAAGAAGGTCAACTCTCTAATTCCATTAGAACAACAAAGGGAGTTAAACAAGGATGCATCTTGGCCCCCTTTTTGTTCAACATCTATATAAACTCCCTAACAGACCACCTACAAGGAGCGGATACACACGCCCCAAAATTAGCAGATCAAAAACTGCCTATCCTACTCTATGCAGACGATGCGGTTATACTGTCCCAGACTCAGAAGGGCCTTAAAAGAGCTTTTAACAGCTTATCCCAATATTGTAGAGAAGAGAAACTAGTAGTGAACTACCAAAAAACAAAAATCATGGTTTTCTGTAACAAAAGAAAAATATATAGATGGAAATTAGACAATCAGGAGATTGAACAAGTGACATGCTTTAAATACCTAGGAGTTATATTCCAAGCATCAAGGAAGAAAACTGCCCACATAAATTACAGTTCCTCTACAGCACAAAAAGGTACAATAGCAATTCTAAGATACCATCGTACAATGGGGGGAAATTTTATTCCTGCCACAATTAAACTATTCGCTGCAAAACCAACAGCACAAATACTATACGGCGCACCACTCGTCTCCCTCTCCAATCTAGACCCATACGAAAAGATACAATCAGGTTTCCTTAGATCACTCCTGCAAACACCTAAATGCGTCCCTAACGCCGCCCTACGACGGGAAGCGGGCTTATACAGCATCAAAAGCAAAGTATGGATAAGAACCTTATGCACTTGGCTAAGACTTAACAACTCGCCGGTTGGACTACTTTCCCTGATGCTTCTTGACAAATTCCAATCTAGTTGGCTGAAGGGCACTCTCAGAAAATTGGCCACATATGGTCTCTCCCCAGAGTATTTATTAAGTTTAGAAAGGGGAAGGGCCAAGAATATAATCAAAGAAAGACTCAGGGACATTGAAGCCCAAAATGACTTTAGTCAACTTCCGATAACTCATAAATTCCTATTCGATTCCCAAAGCCCCCATCTAGCAAACTATCTCAAAGTTCTACATAATGCTAAACACCGATGGGCATTTACCAGGGCCCGCTTTAACGCTCTCCCTTCAGCTCTTCTAGAGGGAAGATACAACAAAATACCGATCGAACAAAGATCATGTCCCTGTAACAGCAACGAAATTGAAACCATCGGGCATGTCATCTTATATTGCCCATTATATCGAGACTCAAGAAAAGACCTGATCGAGCCGATTCTGAGGAAAATACCTCGTAGTACAGACGACACCTATATCAGACACCTCTTAGCTGACAAAGACCCCGAAATCAACAGGCCAGTGGCGAAGTACTGTTACATTGCAACAAGAATAAGACGAGCAATGATGACAGCAACGGAGTTCAAATTGCAAACATCGAAGGAACGATAATAAACAGTAGTGACATTTGAATTGAATCCTTAAAACCTTAAAAGTCGAAACCTGGTCATAAACATAAGTACCAATTTTGTGATTTGGCCATATGTCCACTGTTATCTGTAGTACAATAGTACTTATATTGCCATATTTTATTTTATAAATTGCTTGCTGGTCATTGACCGTATTAAAGATATTTGAATTTGAATTGAAGTCCATTAATCATTCCCCCGTGTCTCTTATTTAAGGATTTTTTCCTCCCACCACTAGGTCTGCGTGCTGTTTGCTCCATTTGGTCTATGACATTTGGATGATCATCTTCATCAATTGATAGACTCCTACCTTCAGGAGCACTGTCTCCCTCCCCCAGCTTAAAGCCCTCCTGATGAGGTTTCTGAGATTCCTGGCAAAAGCATTCCTCCCAACCGTTGTGAGGTGCAGCCCATCGCTTGCCAGAAGTCCATTTTCAAGAAACTGCAGTCCGTGATCTAAGAATCCAAACCATTCCTGTTTACACCATTTGCGAAGCCAGCTGTTCACTTCCACTATTTTTTCCTCTCTCCCTGGGCCACGTCGTTCAACTGGGAGGACAGATGAGATCACAATTTGTGCATTTAATTGCTTCAATTTCCTGCCCAGAGCCTCGTAGTCTCTTTTGATCTTCTGGAGGCTATTGCTTGCAGTGTCATTGGTTCCCACATGAACCAAGAGGAAGGGGTATTTGTCAGTGGGTTTTATGATTCCTTGCAGTCGTTCAGCTACATCTTGGATCTTAGCCCGGGAGACAGCACACTTCCCGAGACATCTTGTCAGGCCCACAGATCACTGCTTCTGTTCCCCTCAGTAGGGAATCCCCTATCACCACTACACGCCTCCTCTTAGGTTTGGTCGGGGTTCTTCTGTGAGCTGTCCGTTCCAAGGTCGCCTGCACATTCCCTGAGGACTGACTTTGCTGCTCATCTTCATATACCTGATCGACTGTAATGAGGAGAGATCCTCAAATGGAGTCTGCTCTTCGTCTTCCATGCTAGGGAGAGGACCTCAAAGCGATTGTGTATTTCTAAACAATCAGAGCGAACCCTGGGCCTCCTACTTCTTTGAGTCACGTTTCTCCATATATCTGGCTCCTGTGTTGGTGAACTAGCCTCCTTCTCAGGGAGTCCCCTGTCTCCTCCTTGGTGGAGACAGTGTGCTCTGTTGCTTCCAAGAAGAGCTCCAGCTCTCTAATTCTTTGGAGCGTAGCTACACGTTCCTCCAGTTGCTGGACTTTGTCTTCTAAGAGGGCAATCAACATGCAATTGCTGCAGGTAAAGCTGCCTGCAACCTTTGGCAAGATGGCAAACATTGCGCAGGAACCGCAGGCGACTGCAGCTGTTCCCTCCCCCTCCATCTTGAGAACGTGTCGTTGGGGGTGGCTACAGCGGTCCGCCATCATAAAAAGCGTGAAGACAGGACAAATAACTCCCCACACAAAAAAATCCCAAAAAACCTAGGTCTCCCCCAACAAACGTTTGAGACTAGCTCCCCTAAATCTAAAAGATGGATCAAACTGCGCTCGCCGCTGCCCTGCAAGCTCTGATAAGCTCCTCCCACAGCTAATCACCTGCCTCAACAGAAACTCTGCCCCCTCTGACCTTTGCACAGGGAGAGCAGCGAATCAGCCACAAAGAAACACACACACACAAGAAAACGCTTTTTGCTCCTTCAACTGCTGCCCTGCAAGCTCTGATAAGCTCCTCCCACAGCTAATCACCTGTCTCAACAGAAACCCTGCCCCCTCTCAATATCTGTTGATATTTCAGTATCTGTTAATTGGACAAAATAATGTTTTTATGGAAACACATTGAAACTGCTAGTCTTGAGGGAGTCATTTTCTACAAAGCATTTATGGTAGTGTTCTTAATCTGTTGAGTATATCTATGAAGTGTTAGTTACTGAAATAAAGATGACTCTGAGCTGTGTCAATAACTGTGTGATAAATCTGAAGTGTTCAAATCTCTTAGTGGAGCTCTGTTGTGAAGCTGTAAATTTATTTCTTTTAATGCTATTGTCACAAACGTATTTAGATTTGAATTTGAACTAATATATGTACGATCAAAAGGTCGGCGGTTCGAATCCCCGCGGCGGGATGAGCTCCCGTCGTTCGGTCCCAGCTCCTGCCTACCTAGCAGTTCGAAAGCACCCCTAAGTGCAAGTAGATAAATAGGGACCGCTTTCTAGTGGGAAGGTAAACAGCGTTTCCATGTATGGCGTTGGTGCTGGCTCGCCAGATGCAGCTTAGTCATGCTGGCCACGTGACCCGGAAGTGTCTTCGGACAGCGCCGGCTCCCGGCCTCTTGAGCGAGTTGAGCACGCAACCCTAGAGTCAGTCACGACTGTCCCTGATGGGCAGGGGTACCTTTAAGTTTACCTTTATGCACATACTTGTCTACCTTATGCATTTTAATCTATCGTGGTACCTCTGGTTGCAGACAGGATCCGTTTTGGAGGTCTGGCTGGATCTCGAGGTTTTCGCAGCTGGAGGACCACTTCTGCGCATGCACGCGCAGCAAAACCCGGTAAAACACTTCTGGGTTTGCTGCTTACGTATCCTGAAGTTTATGTAACCATAGGGTTACGTAAGCGGAGGTACTACTGTATTTTGGTAGTCTCTTGGTTTACTCACTGTGATTATCAGTGTAAAGTGATAGGAGTTCAAAGTTAAACTTTCATTATTCTGTTTCTCTTTATTGTTAACAGATCAACATAGTGAAATATTTATACATTGCGGCTGGCAAATGTTTTGGGTATGAACAAAAGTAGTCATATTGGAGTTTTTAAAAACAATTCAAAGGCTATGCAGGTATTTCCTAGTTTTTGAAACCCTGCAGTTGTTTTCAGCAAATCAGACAATATTTTTAAGGGTCTCACAGAAAACCAATAAGGAGGCAATCCTGTACATAAGTAGTGGAGAACCTCCAGCCTCCAGACCTAAGTAAGTGCAGCAGCCCCCCCCCCCATGTGACCTGTGAAGCTCTTTGGTCAAGCCACACCCACCTGCCCTCTGTCCAGTGTGACACACGCAAAGACATAGGTTCTTGCTAAAGTGAAGATTGTGCTGTCTTCAGCACTTGTAAAGCCAGAGGGTTTGGCAGACACTGACAACCAGCTGATTGGTGGAACTTACAAATTACTGTGTCTTAAAAATAGGGGAAGATGTTTCATCTGACATCACAATTATGTCAGATGTTAAAGAGTTGGATAGGCCCACATGTCAAAATGACTTGTGGAAATCTGAGGACCTAAGGTCTTAACCAGCTGTAAATGATTCCCAGCCCCCGCTGTATGTGCTTACCTGGGAGTAAGTCCCATTGTGCTCAAAGGACTTATGATCTGAGGAGACATGTATAGGATTTCACCATTAATTGCTAATTAAATGATTTTTCAGGATCAAATAGTAAAAAAAAAGTTAATTCTGAAGACATAGAATAGTTTGAAAACAATATTTTATTGTACCTGAAGTTATGTTTCAGTCACTGAAGTTATTTCCTTTAATTGAATTAGTGTCTCTGGTAGCTTCCTAGAGAGCATTTCAGATACCACATTTTAATTTCAAACTTTTAGATCTTCCTTTAATTCATGATATATATTTTTAAGGAATGTTGACAACTGGTTTTGAGTCTTTTAATTATAGACTTGTATTTAATTGATTGCTTTTCAAAAGTTTAATAGTTTAATTTTTACTTAAACTATATACTGTCATTCAACAAAAATTCTCAAAGTGGTTTCCATAGTAAAATTTAAGTAGCAATTAAAACACATTTTATTTAAAGTTCTTTTTTATAGTTTATCTTCTGTTCCCTTTTTTGTACACACTGTTCTGTGATGCAGCTTGTTAAAATATACAAAAAGGAAAATAAACTGTGTTGGTTCATAACAAAAAATACACCTGAGTAACACCTTTATTTGGACAAATGAATATGTCGTAAACATCAGTTTGGATGGTAGGAGTGAGGAGACAAAGGCAGGCTTATGTTGAAACTACCAAGCCTGAATTTAGTGACTTCAAAATCAAGCCACCTTTTATCTCTCTTTCCCCTTTCCCCTTCTCAGCATCTAGCCTGATGAAGAATTCTGGAGAACAGGAAAGCTTTGCTCACTATTTTGTGACATTCTGGTTGGTCCTAGTAAAGGCATTGTGCACTGTGGATAGTTAACAGATGCCAGACTTTCCCTTATTTTTTCCCTTACTGTAAAACAAAGTAAAATGCTCTCCCTACCCCCAGCCTTTGAAGTACAGCAGCCAGAAAGTAAACAAATTGCTATAGCAAGAAATTTCACATGCTGTTTATATTTTAGGAATTAGGAAAATGTGGAGAGACAAACAAAAAGTGATAAACTGTTAGGCAAGATTAAATATATGAGGATAGGAAACTGTTCAATCTGGAACATTAAAAATAAAAACATTGGAGAGAAAAATATAATGGATGTTTTTATAGAACTCCTATTTTTAATTGGATGACTTTTTAAAGAGGAAAATTAGGATATGAAAACTGCAAATAATTATTTTGTATAAAATTGAGAATAATGGGAACCAGCTTACAGAAAGAATTACAGATATCCTCCTGGCTGTGAAACAATGGTCTGGTTCATATGATCCAATCCTGATTGATTAAGCTTGGGTATGCTTGAGCTTTGTGCACTTTCATCATGCTTTAAAGTTGTCTTCCTAATCTTGATTTGTTAGAAAGCCATTAAATGTAATTTATAATTCACACATATTAGGGGTCTTTTTTGCCATTCGTGCAAATGAAGTAGTGAATCAGCAGCAAAGGGATTGCATGGGCACGCAGCTCGTGTATGTCTTTGCTTATTGATAATGAAAATATGGGGGGAGGGGGGAAATACCTGCAAACAGAACTGATTTATATATTTAAAACAGTAACAAGCAAAAGCATACATAGTTATGGTTTCAACATGGCCAGTATTTTGGTGCACCTAAAAATATTACTACAGCCTTTGTTGTTGTGGCAGATGTTCTGAATTAGATGTTTCCATAGATTCATAGAACTATAGAATTGGAAGGGACCCTGAGGATCATCTAGTCCAACCCCCTGCAATGCAGGAACACAGCTGTCCCAACTGAGCTATCCAGGCACATAATCACGGAACAGTTGATAAGATTATTTTATTTTCTTAAAGAGCAGCTGCAAATTATATCTGGAATTTATGGCACTGCAGAAGTGTAAATTAACAGTAGATATCAAAACAATAGTTTTATTCAGTATTTGCTTTTCTTACAGGTTGGGTGTAAACTGCTTACGACAGCTATGACTCCTGCTCTTCAAGAGAAAGCAATGAAAGGGCACGGTATCTGCTTATCATCTTCCTTGTCTTCAAGAGTGATGGAGTCCAATGATGCATTAGGCATGGGAAGTACCAGACCAGTAAAAGAGAAGATGAAAGACGGATCTGTCACAAAAATTACTTGCTCCATGCTGGGGTTCCCCATTCCTCAAGCCAACCATAGCACTGATTGCTTTAACTTAAAATACTTTGGTTCTCAGTCTTCTAAACACTATCCAGTATTAATGAGCCCCAGTTCTACTTTCCATGTGAACAATAAAAACTGTGTGCAGAGGAACTCAGAAGAGCATAGCTGCTCCAAAGTGAGAAATCCATTATGTAACAGCACTAATACACACTTCAGTCAAATTATTAATTCAGAATCTGGGGAGCAGGTCAGAGGGGAAACTTTATTAGGATCAACAAAGAACTTACCTGAAATGGGAAAACTATTTGATTCATGTTTAACTGAATCCCACAATGTAGAAGAAAGGCAGCTTCCTAACTGTAAAGGGTATCAGAAGAATGGCTTTTTGAGCAAGGCATTATTTATTAATCCTGAGACAAAAAAAGGAGACCTGTTCCATCAAGTGTGTGATGATGCCCTGGAACCAAAAATGAACTACAATCCCAGTACTAAAGAACAGGAATTGAATTTTCATTTACTTCGGTGTGTAAGCAAGCAACAGGCTTTGCTCAGCCGGGCCAAAAGAAGTCAGAAACATTTGCAAATACTCTTGGCGAAGCATGTTGTCAAACACTGTGACCAGCAGATGAAATGCTTTGTGAGACGCCAACTACAGAGAATGAAAGCCTTTCATGATCCATCCGGTGTTTTGGGTGGCAGCTATCATAGATGCACCAACATTAAAATGGAAAACATAGAGGCTAATACAAGTAAAGATATACAGCGTGATTTTGATGTTTCATCTGATGAAATCAAAGCGTTTGCTCGCTCAACAGCTGGACTCCTATTTCATGCGGAAGAGAGTTTGGATTCTGATGCCACTTGTAGCAGCTCAAGTGAAGATGATGATGAGCAGATTTCCAGAAAAGCTATGTCAGTGTAGGTATTAAAAGAATTGCTGAACTTCTGTGCTACAATCCTGCATGCTCAAGTTCCATGTAAATCTGTGATATCTCTGTACATAAAGGACAGAAGATGTGATATGTTAATGACAGGATCTCCAAATCTTTTATTTTTGGAGTCAATGTTGATAAAGTTTACTGATGTAAATGGAACTGATCATAGCTTGTTATACGAGTCAAATTTTACAGTACAGGCAATCCTTGCTTTGCATGGGGGTTCTGTTCCAGACCCCCATGTGCATTGGCAGGGCCAGAGTAAAGCGTTCTGCCCCACCCCCGTTCCACTGTTTTAGTGATCAGGTCACTTCTGGGTTTGGCACTGTTGGGAGTTGCCTGTACAAGCAGCAAATTAGTGACACTATTTCAGCACCATTGAGATGTGTTCCCTTTGGCTGGTATCAACCAACTGTGTCATATTTTTACATCCATTGAAGTAGTTTTCCAAGGTGTTCCCAAACACAGCTCATTATAGTACAGTGGTGCCCCGCAAGACGAATGCCTCGCAAGACGGAAAACTCGCTAGACGAAAGAGTTTTCCGTTTTGGAGGTGCCTCGCAAAACGAATCTGCTATGGGCTTGCTTCGCAAGACGAAACTGTCTTGCGAGTTCCTGGGTTTTTTTTTTCCTTTTCCCCCTCTTTTTCTAAGTCGCTAAGCCGCTTATCTGCTTATCTGATAAGCTGATAAGCCGCTAAAAGCCGCTAATAGCGCTAATAGCGCTAATCCGCTAATCCCGTCAATGGGCTTGCTTCGCAAGACGAAAAAACCGCTAGACGAAGAGACTCCCAGAACGGATTCTTTTCGTCTTGCAAGGCACCACTGTAGTCTAAATGCAAATCATCTGGGAGTATGGACAAAGGTGACAGCCTATCTGTGCTTGAGGGCCTGTAGTTGGCTCACCAAGCTAAACTGGTGAAAGGCACTTCATGCAGCTATTATGTCACGGTGCCGCTGTGGTTTAAACCACTTAGCCTCTTGGGCTTGCCGATTGCAAGGTTGGCTGCTCGAATCCGGGTGATGGAGTGAGCTCCCGTTGCTCTGTCCAAACTCCAGCAAACCTAGCAGTTTGAAAGCATACCAGCGCAAGTAGATAAATAGGTACTGCTTCAGTGAGAAGGTAAACGACATTTCTGTGTGCTCTGGCTTCCATCACGGTATCCTGTTGCGCCAGAAGCAGTTTAGTCATGCTGGCCACATGACCCAGAAAAGCTGTCTGCAGACAAACACTGGCTCCCTCGGCCTTAAAGCAGAGATGTGTGCCACACCTCATAGTTAAATTCGACTGGACTTGATCCTCCAGGGGTCCTTTACCTTTTATATATTTCAAGTCTGGATTGCCAATGTTACATGGATGGTTCTCTCTCTTAGGATTTTATTGGCTAACTTATGCCAATAAAGGCTAAATGAATGAAGGTACTTCATGCCACAAATGCCACTTGGACATGGCCATCCAAGTTCATGTAAACCTGCTTAAGCCTTAGGGTCTGTATCAATTGCCTATGTTCTCTAGGCATTTGATTTATGGGAACCAGGAACAAGGCCTTCTCCGTAGTGGTACCAAAATTATGGACTTCATGTTGCATGTTTTCAGGCATTTGATCCACATCTTGTTGGCCAACAGGATGCTGGACTAGGTGGGCCATTGATTCAGCAGGCTCTTACTATGTGCTATATAATAATAATAATAATAATAATAATTTATTATTACGGCTATGTTTTCAACTCTGTGCAGAAATCAGACTCAATTCAGCTCTTTCTGTTTTTAGCAGATGCTTCTAAAAGGCATTTTATGATATATTCACTGCTGTTTTAACCTGTTAAAGGTACCCCTACCCGTACGGGCCAGTCGTGTCCGACTCTAGGGTTGTGCGCCCATCTCACTTAAGAGGCCGGGGGCCAGCGCTGTCCGGAGACACTTCCGGGTCACGTGGCCAGCGTGATGAAGCTGCTCTGGCGAGCCGGCACCAGCGCAGCACACGGAAACGCCATTTACCTTCCCGCTATAAAGCAGTCCCTATTTATCTACTTGCACTTAAGAGTGCTTTCGAACTGCTAGGTGGGCAGGAGCTGGGACTGAACGACGGGAGCTCACCCCGCCGCGGGGATTCGAACCGCCGACCATGCGATCGGCAAGCCCTAGGCGCTGAGGTTTTACCCACAGCGCCACCCGCGTACCTGTTAACCTGTTAACCTGTTACCTGCTAGTTATTGTAGCCCCAAAGGCTTCTTGTGATAGCCTAAGGACTCTTTTGAGTTCTCTTTCTAAAATAGTGATTATCTCTTCTAACCAATGTTCTGTGTTCTTCCTAGTAACTATAGATCTGACTGGAAATGGCTGGTAGACAGAGCTAATGTTGGCTGTCGCTGGACATGGCTTCAAGCCCAGATTTCAGAGCTAGAATACAAAATCCAGCAACTCACTGACCTTCACAGGCAGATTCGTGCCACCAAGGTATTGTCAGTAAGGAAGAAAAATGGGTTATTGAAATAAAAGATTGATAGATGTTTTTTCTCTCTGTTCTGTGGTTTCTGGTATCTAAGCAAAAGCCATTATGTAAAATCTACAAAGGTCAATGAAATAGTAGGCTGAGTTTGAGTGTTGTGTTTGTTTGAAAGTAGGATTGTGGTACAGAATCCATACTAAGATTTGTAATTTACTGGGTGGCCTTGGGCAAGTGACTGTTTCCCAGCTTAATTTATTTCATTCTTAAAAAAAAAAAAAAAAAGGCGAGGGGTGAAATCGATCTTGTTTTGTTCTTGTAGTGAAGCTCTGCTGTGAAGTGTAGTCATGGACTGGGAACAGTGAGATGAGAGAGAGGTAGGGACTGGTATGAGGAGGATGAAGAGAGGGTGCTTCTTATTTTGGTAGTTTGGAAACAAGTAAGTTGTGTGCATTGGGATGGACCAACCAAAACATTGTCTATAAGTCTCCAGTATAAGTACAGTGAGGAAGCAATAATTAATAGACAGGACTCCTCAAACACAGTCATAAACAATCGATTAAAATAATTTTCATCTTTTCTTGAAGTGTAACTAAACAGAAAAAACACAGATAGGCCACAACTATCTTTTCCCAAGGGGTGGAGAGCATGGAAGCAGAGAGTTGTCGAGCGGTACCAGCAATCTGAGTCTTGGTTTTTTAGTGATACCTGGTTCCTTGTAGATTAATCTTATGGAAATAAAGAAAATAGCTGTTGTGGGCAAGTGAAAGTAGATCTTTATCCCCCCCCCCCCCAATAATTTGTATTGGTTTTCATGTAAATACAAGAACAACATATAACTACAATTAACTTGTCCAGTGGCACAGTCTTATTAAGTTTCATATGCAGTACACAGTACACAAGCAATAAGTTTTTTTATGCATTGTCAATTCAAGTATCCTCTCCACAGTGGAAAGCAGATCTTTATGCATATATTGAATTGCCTGGTGATTAAACTATCTTTTTGAAAAAAATTGATTGTGCACTCTGCATGATGATTGAGTTCTTTATATAAGGTAATCCAATAAAGATCATGCTTGGTAATCTAGAGGGACAGATTTAATTTATTTTTTAAAATTAAATCAAATCTTTGTTACAGTCAATGACCAGCATTAAGGAAACAAGATAAAAGGCACATAGAATGCACTATCAAAATGTGTATAATAAAGAAAAGGCTGGTACTCGTCAATCCAGCATCTCTTCTCAGAGAGCTGGAAATCCAAGACCTCAGCACATTGTAAAACCTGGCGAGGCTCATATGTATGCAGGCAGGCAGGCCTGCAGATAATCTGTTTTGCAAACTAACACTGTCCCAGAAACGAACAAGTTGCCAATATGTGTTCCAAATTGTTGACCATATAAGCCTTCTAGCTGCACCTTTTGTACCAATTGTCTTCAAAGGCATTTCCATATGGAGCAAACGACAGTAATCCAGTCAGTTGTGAACAGAAGATGTGTCACTGATGCAAATCTTGTTTTTTATTATTTATTGCATTTATATCCTCCTCTTCAAGGAGCTTGGTTGTGTGAGGTAGGTTAGGCTGAGAGGAGGTGACTGCCTCGCAGTGAGATTAATGTTTGAGTGGGGATGAGTGGGCTGATTTACAGCAACTTGCAGGTCTGATTGCTGAATCATAGTTAGTGTTTGGGCAGCATCACATCTACACTGGCCCTCAGGATGTTTCATTTAGTAGATGAAACTAGAAAATGATACAACAATCAATACATAGATTTGTATGCCAAATTTTTGAACTGGAGCAGAAAATCGCTATAATGTTAGCTGCTTGCAAAAATTGAAGTTGCAGCTTTATTGTCATGTGAGATTATTCACCTTGTCTGTATACAGATCACACTTTGAGCTCTAAATCATTAAAGTGTTTCAGGGGGCTGCAGCAGTTTGAGAGATTACATTTGTTACACAATTGTGTTCTATTGCTGTTGTCTAGGGAATGGTGATCCTAGAAGAATTTCCAAATCCAAAGGAATTCTTGAAGAAACGAACACAATTGATGGACCATGAAGCTTTATTAAACACCACAGGGAATTCACATGCTTCCCTTGAGAGGCAGGATGCTTGGCCGGAACATGATTTCGAAATGTCACCCAGCAGTCCAACTCTGCTTCTCCGCAACATAGAAAAACAGGTATTCAAGTGAGAGTGAGCATCAGATAGAATTAGATAATTTGTAGCAAAACACAGGTACACTGTAATAGCTTATTAATAAAACAAAGTTCCATATTTCTGTAAGCATGATCTGCATAAGTTGCAGGAAGTGGGAGATTGTGTAGTGGTTTTTGTACACTCAGAAGGCATCTTGGAAGCTGTAGTGTTAGACTTGGTTTGGCAGGTCTTAATTCAGAAATTTACTTGTGAAATTCACATTGTCCAGTAACAGTGTCTCCATTTCATCTCTCTGTTATGAGGATAAAATGTGATATATTTTATGTATGCTACTTGAGCACCTTTTATGTCACCCATCAGCATGATAAAGTCAAACATTTCAGTTTCAGGCAGGAGGGCTGTGGAAAAAAGTCTTGGTTTTTCATTTCCCTCCCTGACTTTTTCCCTTTCCCTTGAGCTTAGTATTCATAATTATAGTGTGAAGATGCTGATTGGAAGTGTCTGCAAAGTCCCTTGCACTGTGCTTTCCTGAGCACCAGCTGATTGCTGGGTGCTTTAGAAGCACTGTGCTTTGAATATAATCCTGAGTTCTTTAAACTATTATTTGCTATGCATTCAATTCAAGGTTTTCCCTTTGATTCTTCTTTCAGAGTGCTCAACTGAGTGAAATAATCAGCAGTCTGATTACTCCTCTCAATCTGTCTCCCACATCATCTCCTCTTTCCTCAAAGTCCTGTAAGCAGAAAGAGTTGGCCAATGGCATCTCTATAAGGTACGTGACACTTTCATGTATTTCATAATAACTGGATATTTAGCATTTGGGGGAATGTAATATAAAATGACAGTACAACTGTTGTTTAAATAACAACAGTATTATTATTTAAACAAACTTGCAGTAGTTTAGTATTACAAGGCTGCAATCCTACACACACTTGGGAGTATTGCTGCAATCCTAGCCCCCCCCCCAAAATACCTGAGAGCCCCGCCCCCATACCACTAGAACTTAATTCTGAGTAGACATAGCATTGCATGGTAAGTACTTTTAAACTCAGTAGGGCTTATTTGTGAGGAGACATGTATAGGATCAATGTGTTTTTAAAAACTCCCTGTTTGATAATAATGAGGATGCTGTTCAGAAGAGGCTGACACATGCTTTGAAATACTGTATATGAATTGCATAGTGCAATTACCAAGATAATAAATATATTATTTTAATGTAATAGTCTCCTTCTATTGTAATAATGGTGATATATGATAATGTAAAGCACATTAATACAACAATATAAATCACGTTTATAAAGTTAGTAAAACAAAATATAAATGAATTAAAACAATAGACTTGGAAAATAAGGTTGTTGTTCAGTCTTCTAAAATCAAAATAGTCATTCTATCATGCAATAGGAGAGGGTGAGAGATGGGATTTCAGTGCTTCTCCATTGGTTCCTCTGAAGGATCAGCAACTTTGGGCTCTTTTCCAAATTGTTCCATTCCAGCTGAACATTACAAGAATGCCGTAAGGAAGAACTAGTGTTTGAGCTTGTTTTCTTGCTATGAAGTCCTTTTCCTTCTGTGCCATGCCTTCTGGAATGTAAGCCTGGGAGCAGGGACTGTTTTATTCCTAATACTTATGAGCTGCTTTGGAAGCTTTTTTTTTTTTTGGCTGAAAAGTAAGATAAAAATGTGTTAAATAGGGGGGCCACCAGGGGGCGCATTGGAAGATGGCCGACAGTAACATCTCTCCGACTCACACGAGGTAATTAAGAGGCTGATATGGGAGTATGCAGCCTCCCTTGCCCCCCCAAGGGAATGGGGGGGACTGCCTTGCCAGCTGTGTCCATAATTCACACCCCGGATTCGAAAGAAGGGGGTGTGGGCACTTGGCACGAAGCCCTCGAGTGAGGCCGACTCTCCCGGACGCTGTCTCTAATTCGCGCACTGGTTTGCATTAGCTCGAAAAATATAAAATTGGAAATATATAATTGGAAAGAAGCTAATGCACATACATCAAGTGAAGATCGGAAGTAAAGACTGCTGATTAATGGATCTCTGTGAGCGGAGCGACGGGCTGAACAATAAATCAAGTGAAGAATCATCATTAAAAGCCTGGTACGTTGGAGTGAAATGGAAAGGGGGGGGAGGAAAAAACTTTTTTTATCTTATGTGAGTACCAATAACCCTCCCCTCCAGAGAGAAGAATCGTTGCAAATTATTAATCACAAGCAGGAGATCAAGAACTGTGTGGAAATGAACTGGTAGAAACATCGGGGTGGACTGGTATGGAAAGTTTTATGACGCAGTTACAAACGGTGTTTCGCTAAGACAGGCTTGCCTATAGAAAGACGAGGGGGAGGAGGACCAGGGTCATCAGAATGTGAATGTATGATTATCGGAATGTGATCTTGACCTGGCAGTGCCCCCTGAGATATGTTTGGCAAGCCTGGGGAAATCAACGGACAGACGGAGGGAATGTTCTTTACGGAGGTGTGGAAATGGCGTCTGTTCTTTATGTGATATGATTTTTGGAGAGTGTAAAACCCACACAGAGCATGTTGTTTTCAACCCGCTTGTGAAGATTATCAGAGATCGCAAAGAAAGGAATATATGATAACAACAAGAAGATGAGGAAAGTAACAAAGAGACTATCTGGACAGAACTGGATAGAACTGTTTAATTAAAGCAGCAACATGAGTGATGTTTGGACCCCTTTCGGAGCTTGATGTATGGGTACCCCCAACAAAAATTTAAAAATCTGGCTGTATAATTTGGAATTAATGTGATTTGGAATTAATGTGATTTGATTGGCCTGTTAATAAAAATTATATTTTAAAAAATGTGTTAAATAAAACATAAATTAATTTTTGTTAATAATGATTAAAGATTATTGGATTTAGATGGTGGAGTAATGAGATTAGGTCGTATTCTAATGAGATTAAGAAATCTCAACTAAGAAGATGATTTCCCATGTTTTTAAAAGCTATTATGGTCTGTCTTGAATAATAAACTGAGGGTGTCTCTTTAATGGTTCAACTTCACTAGGGGTCAGGTCTCATTTCTTTGCCACTGATACTTCCCTATGCTGTTTTTCTTGGGAATATTCATGTTCACAGTTTATTGCTTGCAGCAGGTACCTCTGTGAAAGTACAGTGGTACCTTGGGTTAAGTACTTAATTCGTTCTGGAGGTCCGTTCTTAACCTGAAACTGTTCTTAACCTGAAGCACCACTTTAGCTAATGGGGCCTCCTGCTGCCGCTGCACCACTGGAGCACAATTTCTGTTCTCATCCTGAAGCAAAGTTCTTAACCCAAGGTACTATTTCTGGGTTAGCGGGAGTCTGTAACCTGAAGCGTATGTAATCTGAAGTGTATGTAACCCGAGGTACCACTGTATAGAGAAATTATGGAGCAATGTTGGAAGGTTTAGAAGTTGGGCTCCCAGCTTTAGAAGATCTAATTAAACCAATATGAAGAATAATGTATGGACAAGCAAATCAATATATGTACATTGCCTAGAGCAACCTTTCTCAACCTTGTGTCCCCAGACGTTGTTGAACTACAACCCCCTTCATCCCTGACCACAGGTCTGGCTAGCTAGAGATGATGGGAGTTGTAGTCCAATAGCACATGGGGCTCCAAAGTTGAGAAAGGCTGACTTAGAGTATATCACTTAATCCTGAGTACACCTTCTGATCTTGAACTTGGTGTATGGAACTCAAATATTATATAATATGCAGAGCTTATTTCTGACATCCTAGGATAATTATTTGGTGCTTTTCAGAAATTCAGAGAACAATGAGGAGATATCATGCACCAGTAGTTGGTTGGTTGACCAACAACACCTGAAGAGGAGGAGGAAAGAAAAGGCGAAGTTGAGAACATCATCTGTTGCCATGATATGCACATCTGCTCGCACTAGACCACTTCAGAGTTTCCAGAGGAGGAAGCTGTACAAAATGAGCACTGCTTTCAATTCAAACCAGCAGGTACAAATGCAAAGGTTCCAGCTTTGTGTGCCAGATTAGTATGGGTGTGTATCTACTACATGCTCCTGCTCTTGTTCTGTTCTGTGAGATTCTAAATTAGGGGAGAAAATTTTCAAGAAGCAGGTCAGATGTGAGGTTGACCACACATAAGGCTAAATTGGATTTCCTAAGTTGGCCTTGTTGACCACCGCGACTTCCTTTTTCTAACTAGGTATGATGTTGGATGAAGCATTGTATATATTTATCCTTAAAAATAAAATTAAAAAACCCAAATTCGATGATTCTAAATTATTTTTCTTTGTTATCCAATGTCTCACACATAGTGTATTGTCAGCTGGATTTTCCCTTTGGGGGACAAAAGAACAGGAGAGAGAAGCAAGATATATTATGGATTAATTATACAATGAGTTTCTTTCATGTGACCATTTATACGAGTCCAGAACTGAAAGCATCTTCCATCTTGTTGGGTCATATCCTTACCCAATTTTCTGGATGACAGCCCACCATGTATGGCAGTGAGGTCACTTTGACTTGACCAGTGGGCTGGGCTGTGTTAACAGGCCGCATTCTGCTTCATACTAGTTATTTAGGTAAATATTTTTTACAAATGGTTTAACACTTGAGAGTTAATGTGGAAGTATATAAGGAAAGAAAGCAGTGTAACTGAGCTGTGTTACAGTGGTGCCCCGCAAGACGAATGCCTCGCAAGACGGAAAACCCGCTAGACGAAAGGGTTTTCCCTTTTTCAATGCGCTTCGCAGGACGAATTTCCCTATGGGCTTGCTTCGCAAGAAGAAAATGTCTTGCGAGTCTTGTGATTTTTTTTCGCTCCCCCCCCTTTTTCTAAGGCGCTAAGCCATTAATAGCCTTTTAGCAGCTAAGCCGCTAAGCCTTTAATAGCTGCTAAACCGCTAATAGCGCTAATCCGCTAAGCCACTAATAGGGTTGCTTCGCAAGACGAAAAAAACCGCTAGACAAAGATACTCGCGGAACGGATTAATTTTGTCTTGCGAGGCACCACTGTATTTGTTGCATTCAAACAACATGACTGAGCACTGAAATGGGTTTAAGAGGTCAGCTAGGCTGAAGTTACTAATCAAGAAAGGTTTTGCGAGCAGAAATGATACGCCTCTTCAGATAAAAACAGTGTCTTCACTTAGCTTCTACTGAGGTCAAGTGAGGCTAACATGAAATTACAGTCCACGCCCCCCAACCAACAAGGAAATGCAATCTGATTTTACTACACTGTCAGCAACATTAGTACAATACTATACTGCAACATGTGGAAGACAGGAGTGCCTGGCGTGCTCTGGTCCAGGGGGTCACGAAGAGTCGGACACGACTAAACGACTAAACAACAACAACAATACTGCAACATGCTGCCTTGTTACTTTTGACAGCAAACTTCAGAATTCAGAAATGAAGCAGCAGTATTGTAGTCCGCTCTTTCCACCTAATACATATGTCTGGACAAAAACGGCAATTGAAAACTATCACACTTTGCTAAATCATAGTGCTGTATAATGAATGCTTTGAAAAGCAGGCCTTGGCATGCAAGTAAACCCTGTATTGAATACTAAATTGTTTGCTATGGGAGCAATGACAAGCTTAAGTTGGATGTCTCCAAGAGCTGTTGTAAGACACAGAGAAGGAAAATTCCAAAACAACTCTCAGTTGCATTTGGGCTTCAGAAGTGTGGGAGCACATGATCTAAGTTACAGAGAGCTACTCTTGCTGCCATCAAAAACTTGTAATTGCTAGCTGTTTTCCGAGTCATAGCCAAAGGTCTTAGTAATTTGGGAGTTTATTGAAGATTGAGTTACGTGTTTGTTTTGTGTGTGTGTGTGTGTGTGTGTGTGTTAAACACACATTTACGTATATGTAGCCATAAATAGATGTATTTTTATGTATGTAAATGTAACTGTTTAAGCCATCCAAGCTCTTAGAGACATGACAGAATCTTCATACAAAATGCATTTTGTTTGTACAATAAAACAAATAAAACATTTCATATATGAGTTTCTTAGGAGTCGGAGGCCTAAAGCTAATAATAGTTCAAAATCTCTCATATCAAATTAATGTATGTGTTCTAGTTTCAGAGTCTGGTAAAGGTGATGAGAGCATAAAGATCCCCACCCCCAAACACTTACCTCTGAGGAAGTATGTTGCCATCTAAATCTGCTGTTTCTTTTTGGATAATTTATTTAATCACAAAACCTTACACAGCTGGCAGTGCTCAAGTTTAAATGAAATTGAAAAGCTGTATCTTCTCTTTTTCTTTTTTTTTAAAAGATTTTTGCTGTTCCAAGCTAGCTTAGTTTTCCTCTTCATAGGCTCAGAAGTACCTTAAGCTGATCTGTGTTAAATTAAGATTCGACCTAGCATAAACAGCTGCAAAGTACCTGAACTGAAATAAATATTTAATTTGGAAAATACTGCTTTGCTGCTGTTTTTGCAAATAATCTTAAAACTTAAAATCTTAAAACTTTTAAAACAAAATATAGCATATTGTGTGTAAAGCAAGAGGAATGGAAACCTTCACAAAAATAAGTATATTCCTCCTACAGTAACATTTCATTAATCAGGTTTTTATTTCCCTAAATATAGCAATATGATATTCATAAGAATAGTTTTCTCAGTAAAAAGGAAAGAAAAGAAAAAGGTCAGAGCCAGTGATTGAAGCTAAAAATGTTATGTCCCAATAAAACTTTGTCTTCACCTAAAGGGGGGGGGGAGTACCGTATTTTTTGCTCTATGAGACTCACTTTTTCCCTCCTAAAAAGTAAGGGGAAATGTGTGTGCGTCTTATGGAGCGAATGTAGGCTGCACAGCTATCACAGAAGCTAGAACATTGCTGCTTTCACTGCGCAGCGATCCCTATTGCTGTTCTGGCTTCTGAGATTCAGAATATTTTTTTTCTTGTTTTCCTCCTCCAAAAACTAGGTGCGTCTTGTGGTCTGGTGCGTCTTATAGAGCGAAAAATACGGTAATTTTCACCTGTTTAAAATAAAGCAGGGTGGTATCCAATGCTGGCTGTTTACTAGCAGGACAGGAGAGAGAGGCATTTTTGCATGTTCCATCTCCCTTGTACTCCAAAGGATCCCTTTTCAATATTGTTTGCATTTCTATTTAAAAGCTAAAGGTTGCAATTTCAGCTGGCTGAAGATCTTTCATTGCAGTCAGAAGTAAGCACCACTGAGTTCAGTGAACCTTGCATCCAGGAAACTATATATAGTTTGCAGTTATGCTTATCCTCTTTTAAAATTCTTTTATTGATTTTTCAAAATAACATGAGTGATAATCTGTGAAAAAGGGTGCCATATCACTATAAAGTTTCTGACTAATGCCTTGACTTCCTTTGTTAATTTTTTAGAGACTGCCAATGTCCATGCTTTCTGTTTCCACTGTGATAATTCTAAATGTTCTAGGGACTTTCAGTTTTGAGCAATAGGTTGTCTAGTAGCTATCAAAAGGAAGGTGATTAGTTCTTTATTTAAGGATGATAACAGTATCATCTTTAAAACTTGATAGCAGAACCAAGGTTGTGGTGCAAATAACATTTTGGTTTGTAATCTAGCCAATCTCATTAACAGAATTGTTCCAAAATAGTTGCAGTTTTTCACATGCCCACCATGTATGAATAGTTGTTCTCCTTACACTTTCTCCAACAGAGAGGAGAAATGGTTTTATTGATGTAGTTGCACCTCAGAGGGGTCTATGTAAGACACTGAGAGTGTTTTCTTTTACACATGTGGATACTGATTTTTTTAGCCCACAAGCTTTGCCAATCTGCCCCTTCAAATTATGGTTTCTAAATCTGATTCCCAAGTATGTTTTATTAAATTTATTTGGCCCAATTGTATGTCATGTACTATTTTGTAATTATTGATAATACATGTTCAGATTTTGCATTAGTATTCATAATTAGAATTTCAAATGGAGTTAGAGGCATAGAAGCATATGCGATAACTGTTGGGCTTGCCAAAAAGTGTGTAATCTGATGCATATTCAGCCAATTCCCGATGTTTTGTCTAGCTTTACATATTGATTGTTCTTATGTTCTCCTTTATTTAAAAGTTTCTTGAGCTGTCATGCTGATCCTAATAAATTTGGTATTGTGCTGTTCTTTGGTAGGTGTGCAAGTTCACACATAGTATTTAGGGATGTGGGTTGTGGCTTTGTGAAATGTAACTTCAAAATTTGACACTACTTGTCATTCTATATGACAAGTAGAATAAATTGGAGCATGCCCAATATATTTGCCCGCAGGTTGATGTTAGGTGACTTTAAAAGGAGTTAAGAAATTCATGGAGGATAAAACTACCAGTCATTATTAGTCATGATGGGGGAGCAACAGCAGGAGGAGATAATTGCTTTCATTGGATTTTTGGGGTAAACAGAGAACGGAAGTTAAGAAAAATATTACGGATTTAATTAGTAAAGTCAGGGATAAACTGGCTGAAGAATACCTATCTCTGGAGCAGTAGTCCTGCTGTCTTGTCCAGCTTGAACTTCAATCTGTTGACACGGTTTGGTCCATTTAATGACAAAAGTTTTAAATCTGTGTGCCACCTTACAGGCTATGCAACTGAGAGATGCCTTGTTTAATACAGAAGAAGTGGTTCCAGCCTCCATGTGGAGTACATATGAATTGAGCACCAAGCCCAGGACACAAAAACAACTCATGTTAGAATTGGACACCTCATTCCATCCCGTCTTATCATTTCCTTCTGGTAAGTGGTTGCTTGCTATCCTATGTACAGCAGAACATCCCTTTTATTGACTATTTTTTTATTATGCTGTATTTTCTGCATTCCTCCAAGGAGCTCGAGGCAGTGTCAGAGACTCCCCCTGCCCCCATTTTGTTCTTGTAAGTACTCTGTGAGGCAGTTAAGATTAAGAGAAACAGTAACTGTCACTAGGGGAGCTTCATGGTTTTGTACACTCCACTTAGCATTTTCTCCACAAAACTACTGGCACTTACATAGTGGAGAGTAGGCCAGACTTCATGAATTAGCCTTTGAAAATAGGCATGCAATGCACATGTAAGTGAATAGATTTTGGGGATAGTAGATTGCAATTAGATGATTTATATTTCTTTACATAGATTGAATCTCTATTTTTCAGACACTTCTCTTCATGTACACTTTAAGACACTGCTCAAGAATTATGAGGTCAAAGGTGAATCTGCCCTTGGTTTAGAGTTAAAAATGTCTCCATCAAATGGTATGCAGTACATAATTTTGCCTTTTTTTGTTTCAAAATTTATTATTTGACATTGTTTTGTTGATTTTTCTCCACTGTACTTTTTTTTTTTTAACTGATGGGGATGAATTTTTACATTGTAATTTAAAGTGCAAACAGAAAAAATAGCCTTCCTTTAAACTGAGAACAATAGTAAGATAGTGTTTATTTTGTTGTAGAATATTTTCATTATAAAGGTCCTCCTCAACAGTGGATCTGTGGATTTGAATCCAGTTTCAAACATCAGACTGTGTCAGAAGCATCTGAACACCTGCTAGAGGGAAGAAAGAAAAGACATTTAAGTGAGACAGTGATTGGTAAGTTGCCTAAGCTATCAGGAGGTCAGGTAAATGACAAGTCCCCGGCATACTGTCCACTTCTGTCCACAAGAAGAAAGTAACTGTTTGCAGTGCAATCCTGTACATCTCGATTCAGAAGTAAGTCCCATTAAGTTCACTCGGACTTGCTCAGAGGGAAGTGTGTATAGGATTACAGCCTCAAATGGATGTTTTGTCAAACTCTTGAGGATTGCATTCCAGCTGTAGAAACCATGTGGTACTGTGGAGAATAACTTTTATCAACTTCCTTTGAATATAGCAATAGGTGGGCGTATGTTTGCATTTTTACAGATAAGACTCTCTTAACAGTTTCATTGTCACCTCTTGCTATGTTCCATTTACGTTTATTATAACATCATGTGGAGCAGCTAAGTCGTAATTGTAGTAGTTGTTCAGAAATATCGTTCATTACATACAACTTTCTGAAAGATAAAGGACTCTTCCCCTTTTCTTTCTTTTGTGTGGCAGGAGAAAGTAGTAAGAGATGTGAAGCATTTTCCTTTCAACACGCAGAACCAGAATCCCAGAGTCCTTTTACAGGAGCAGCCAATGGAGACATGATGTCTAGATCAAGTCATAGTATATCAACACAGGTATGCTAAAATTATTGTACTGGAAGATTAGCAGTCTAGACCAACCTTCTCCCACCTGGTGCCCTTCATATATTTTTTTAATTGGAGCTCCCATCATCCTGGCCATTGACCATATTGGCTGGGTCTCAGGAGTCAGGTAGGGTGAGTCTGGTCTAGAGGGGCTGATCTGCGTCAGATGTGTTGCATAGTATAAATTACTCTCTGAACAGCTAAATCAGTATGCAAATCCTGGCAGCTGGAGAACAATACAGATGTTCCCCCAAGCAGCTCCAGCTCCAGCATGGTCCCTGTTCACATGAAAGCCATGATACATGATACATGAGAAGGCCATGTTGGCGAAGTCCGATGGATAACAACTAAAGGGTGCCAAGTTGAGGGTTGTTGCTGTCTCAGCACCATCCTTTTGCTTCCTGCACTGCACTGGCTATGAAGTCAGCAGTAGGAGCATGTCTCCTGAGGAATGTAGCAAAGGAACGTATTCCAGAGACACTCTGTACCATAACTGGAGATATTAAGGACAATATAAGGGATAAAAGTTGTGCTTTAAAAAGGAGTTAGGACCTTGCCCTTTAGTAAAAAAAAACTCTGAGCGGCTTATCAAAACAAGCTCTAAGACAGTTGTTGCCCTCAGGCTCACAGGCTAAAAAGACTTGATAGAAGAGGAAGGGACTAGGAGGAAGAAGCAAGTTCCAGCACTAATTCTCAAAGTTACAGCTGACATCAGTGACATTTCAGGCTGTCTTGTCCTTGTCCATCCTTCCCATGAATCAATCTTTCCACTAGACCAGATGTAGGCGCAAAGCTGGTAAGGAGGAAATGGCAGCTCTGGTACACAGTTTTTCTCTTGAAAAGCAGACTTGATGGCAGTTAAGACTCCTCACACAGGAGGGCACTTGATGGATTTACAACAAAGCCAATAAAAAACATTTTACCTCTGGCTTTGATAATTTAGTATATCAGTTTGTATTTTCATGAATTAATGATTATATATTAGTTTTAAACCAGAGCTTGTTTATAGTACTGACATTTTTCTGTTGGGATATAGTTTCAAAAATTTCTGATCAGCTTTGAGTATTAAAGATGGTTTTCTAGCGAGTTCTGTGCACTTAAGTTTACTTTTGACTTTGAGTGTCCATTTAATGACATCCAATGTATAATGTTATGATTTTTGCACAGCTCAATTCAAGACGTAGACTGAGAAGTGAGAGCTCCTATGATATAGATAATATTGTTATACCTATGTCACTCGTGGCACCGTCCAAGCTGGAGAAACTGCAGTATAAAGAAATTCTCACTCCAAGGTACAGTTGTGTCCATTCATAAGACAGTGTGAAGCTATATTTTGCTAGGGCCATACTCAACCTTAAAAGTACATTTGAGCCAGACTAGGAGGCCAAATTGCAAATGTTTCTTATCTCTAGAAAAACACATATTTTGATGATGTGGGGAGGAGGTAACTCAAAAGGGCAAAGGACAGCTTTCTTTTGCCACTTTCTTCTGCAGCAATGAAACTGCCACAATGCATCAGAACAGCCCAGGTGTACGCTGGCATACATGTCTGAGCATATATATTCCTCCCAGTGGGTTATGTTCTGGAATACACATTCAAGAATGCATCAAAACATTCTGATAGAACTGTAGCTGTTTCAGGATTTCTCTGTGAAAGCAGTCAGGATTTGCTTGCCCTTAACTGGTTTCAGCAGAGCCAAATCCTGATTAGTTCCATAACACTGTCATGGTTCCTGACTGGACAGGACTGTAGTCAATGAGGAGCTGTCCTGTTTTTGTTTTAGTCTGTTACATTAAAAATGATGCCAAAGCATCAGTAGGAAATTATGCCTGCAAACAGGTGTGAAAAGCAGTATTAAAAAACTGGAAGGTAGGGTTCAAAAGGCTTTATCCACCCCATGAAAGCATGCTATTTGCCATTAGAACAGAGGACAAATATTTTAAAGTCTCGTGCTGAGCCAGATAAATTAATTGCGTCACTGATATCAAAAGCTCTTTAAGCAGTGAAAGCAAAGAGTCTTGATTTTGCATCGTATGAGGCTTCTTCAAATGTGTTTAGATTAAGTTGCTTTGGTCAGTGTCCAGAATTCGTTGAAAATCATCATCATTCATGGGTACATGTCAATCCTAGATTAAATTTGTGCATTTCTCTGCTTTTCAAGTATACACCAGTGAGTTTTTACTGTCAGATTTAGTTAACTAATTGCAGCTCACTTTGCCCATAAAGCAACCAACTTTATAGTACTTAGAGGAGGCAGATGAGCAAATTAGTGGGTAGAGAGGGTCCAGTGAGAAGTTCTTATCAGCTTATAGTCAATGGATTTAAACTAGACAAGCACTAACCATACACAGAAATTCAATTATTTCATTTGTTGAATTAGTGTATTTGTAGTGTTTACTATGCAAAATGATTTTTCACAATGTGACAGAGATGAATTGTGCATTGAGGAATCTTTTTCATCAACAGCTGGAGAACTGTTAACCTCGAGCCTTTGGGAAGCCTGCATGAAGAAGAAGAAAAGGTTGGTTGTGTTTCCATCCATCTGATAATTTATAACATTGCTTTTGTTTTATCCAGTAGTTTTGTAGAGCTCTTAGAGCGGGAAACTATTTTCCCTCCCAAAATAAACAGTATCCTTGACACACACTTGCATGTTTATGAATTGTACAAGCGAGGAAAGGAAACAATAAGATCAGAAATATTGTATGAATGTTTTCTTAAGGTATTGGCTAACTAGTGCTTGAAAGTTCAGAAAAATAAGTTACATCAACCTTGTGCAGAAGTACACCTTGAATGACCCCAAAGCCATTTTCACTTGCAACATCTACTGTTAAATTCTGGCTGAAATATCTTTGCTGAACAAGTTTTTTTATGGGTTATTGGAGAACATATGTTCCTGCTTCAGTCTTTCAGAGGGGAAACTTAGTCAAAATCAAGCAAGCTGTCACCCATTTCTCAAAATTTGCTTGCCTGTCCTGCAGGGTTATCATGTTCCTCCTTCAGCTGAAAATAGTAATTTAATGAATGACATCTATTTTGACAGGGCTGCTATATCACATACACTACCATATTTCACAATCTGGCAACGCAAAAAGTAGAGTATACACATTTAATAAATCATAATAGAGCTGCACACGGACAGCACAAACCTAGATTTATATATTCACGGATGCCAGGGAGGTGCAGGTCCTGCAAGTCCTATACACAGTGCATTGAACAACCCTACAGTAGGCACAGGCAAGAACTCTGGTTACCTAAATCATTTACTTTTAAGTTTGGTTTTACATAGCTATCACTGCTCTTTATGCTTTTTGTTTCCCCCCAACCCGATTTCTCCCAACAGCACCCCGACCTAGGTGTATGTCAGCCTGCGAGTATATTTCATACCTCTGATGAAATAAGCCTGCTCCACCCAGCTCTGCCCCTTTTCATGACGTATTTATGATGTATTGGGGCTACTTCAGGTTTGGGGCAATTGCGCATCTAACGCACCTAAACCGGGAGTTGCCTGTATAAACAGCTTCATGTAGCACTAAAATACACATTCTGACCAGAAATTGACCAGTATCAGTTTCACATACTGTATAAACATTTTAAAGTAATACCCTGCCTTCCGCTCTACTCTGCCCAGGATAGTAAAATAACCTGTGAAAGAATTGTGTCTTTTTACGGTTGAAACATTGGTGTTTTATTCTTACCAAAAAATTAATGTATGTTCTAGAGATATGTCAAGTTTTAAATTTGTATAGCTATAAAATGTGTTTTATAGACATACATCTAGGTTGCTTTTTTGCAGTTTTTGTTGATTGGTTTGATTTCCTTTTGGTTTTTCCACAAAAGCTTATGCTACAATAATTTTTGCTAGGCTTTAAGGTGCCACAAGACTCTGGGCAAGATCCAGCATCACGACAGTTGATACATCATTTCCCCTCTTCCCCTTATAAACAATGTTTATAATCTGGGCACTTTAATATTTAGGCAGAAGATCTGTCAGATGATGCCTATGCTTCGCGTCATGCAAACTACGAAGACAAAGAGAGAGCACGGTGGTCGCTGTGGCAACAGTGTCAATGGCCCAGAAGGAACAGGCAGGTTGATACCTATATAAGAGAAATGGTTTAGTCATGTTGGCCACATGATCTGGAAAGTTGTTTTTGGACAAATGCCGGCTCCCTCTGCCTGAAGCGAAATAAGTGCCGTGGTTCATAGTCACCTTTGACTGGACTTAACCGTCCAGGGGTCCTTTACCAAGAACTTGCAGCCTCATAGCCAGTTATCCTAAGAAACCAAACTTATGATATTTTTCTGGAACTATTATTGCTCAAATAGCGATATTAAAATTTCACTAAAATATATTGCATGTTTCACGCACAACTTTGAATAACTAAGGAAAGTGTTTATTAAATGCTGTTTAATGCCCTGTCCCAGTAAAGATTATAGAAAAGGATGTGGTAAGACAGCACCACAGGAGGGTCCTACACTTTGCTACTCTTAAATGCAAGATTTCTTATACAGGCAACTTTCCATTTATGCACATTCAAGGCATGCATGATTGTACACATCGCTGCAAACCCTGCAAAAATTGCCCCAAAAGAGTGCAAAAACGAAAATAATGCCTAGCAATCCTACAAGCCTTTGCAAGTGCAAATCCATGAGCCTTTGCACCAACCTCAGGCCTGTGGAAAGTTGGGAGTCTGAGCAAGGAGGTTTGGAGGGAGCGATTGTGGTGGAGTTTTGTTTTTTTAAAGGGCTTTTCAAGGGTTTTTCAAGGGTTTCCGGAGGTTTAGAGGTGGTTTGCAGGCTTTTTCAGTGGTCTTCCCCATATATGTGATTTCACTTACCATAAATGTATGGTGCCTTGGAATGTAACATCCACATAAATAGGGAATTGCTTGTATACATTCTGCATTCAATTTTTGGGTTTTCCTTTCAAAATATTAAGAAATTTTAATTCTACCCCCTTAAAATATGACAGCATCTTATTTTCCATTAGATGGTTTCTGTTTGGAAAAAACTGGAGCTTTGTCTCATTAATAGAACATATAGCAGAAGTTCTGACGGACAAGATCCAGCACTGAAAGAAAAACAAGGCAACACTGACTTAATATCTGATTTTTCTGAAAACATTGCTGACGCTACTTCAGAAATCCACAGTTCTCTCTGCCTTAGGGAGTCACAGTCTTCAGAAAGAAACCAAAAAACAAAGGTAAAATATATATATTTAGTAATAGCTGGGTGTGTTGACTTGAGTCCCACTGACAGAAGGGACCAAAACCTGCTATCTATAAACCTTTTTGCTTTAAATTATTTAGCATTATATGTATTAAAAGTGTAAAACTAATTTAAAGGTCCACATTGTGGTGGTGGGTTTGTTTTTTTATTAAAAAATTTTTTTAACAAAGCTAATATTTTTTGTTGACTATACTATACTGTTTTTAATTGTGCTATGTAGCAGTCACTAAGAATGTGAGCTAGAAAATCCCTGGTCATCCCTTACCTCAGTCCTGAACTCACTGTGGGGTGTAATACTACAAATCTAGCCCAGTGGGGCTTACTTCTGAGTAGATATGTATAGAATTACCCTGCATGACTGAAATCAAATGCACTTTCCTTTAAGTAAGTCCCATTAAACATAGTAAGCTTTGTTCTGAGAATTCAGGGATTGAATTGCAAAAGGCCTCAAGAGAGAGAGGCACTAGATCTTGGTTTCATAACCTTCATCAAGATAATGTCGTTCTGGGGAGGTAGCAGGCAGGAAGGTTGTTTGTACTACAGAGAGAATATGTGAAGAACATCAACGTTATTTTTTTGTTAATTACAGACTGTTCATAAAGTGGAGGATAAACAATGTTAAGAAAACACTACTGCTTATTTTCAGTTGAATTCACCTCTTCCTCTCTCTTTCATTCCTTTCAGTCTGTTCTTTGGGAACGTCGGTCTTTTCCACTAAAGGTTGAAGAAGCAGGTGCTTTACTATGCCAAGATCAGATAACAGATCAGCAAGAGAATTCAGATGCGGCCATCCCCAGTGACTTTGACTGTACCTCACATGCTGCCTTCAGTTTACCAAATAACCAGCCACAAAAGAAAAGCTCTCCCAATGAGCTGGAAGAGTACAACCAAGTTCACTTGGGAATTGGCAGCATGAAAAAACAGAGGTGACAGAAAGTAATGCGGTTATCAAGAAAGCTAACCAAAGTGAAAGAATGTGTAAGGTAAAAATATTTTAATGCTCCTAAAAGTGCTAACAGCTTTTGACTCACAGTATTTTAAATTACAACACAGATTCTGTCTTTTTTATAGTTTTGACAGGCAGGATAAAGAGCCCAAGGGATGTAAAGAGTGAATGTTCTTAAACTGCAACCACCTTTGCCTACACATCTGAAAGGAAGACCTATTTTAAATGTACGTATGGTTGCTGTGCAGCAGAATAAGGTTTTTCCCCCATAGCTATGCAACAATTTCAAATGAACACAGAAAAAGCTACCCAAGAAGTTGTTTTTGTAAGTGGCAGGAGCTCACAAGTCTACTGTCCTCTTAAGGAATCTGGTTTGCCCAGTGATACATCAAGCACTGTACATGTGATGAATGGTTACTCAATTCTTACTATAGAAAGACAAAAATCTTTGTGGGAAGAAAAATCAATTGAAATAATTGATTTTCTGAATTTCACAATGGATATGTTTCATTTTTGAGTGCCAGGGAAGGACTAAGAATTAGAAATACTATACTTTAGCTACTTAGCATTTTTATTACAACTTATTTTAAACACTTTGCCTAGCCTACAAAAACTATTATATTACACCTGAGCAGATTTCTGAGTATCCATTTCATGTTTTGCATTAGCTAAAAAACTACAACATTTAATTAAATGTCAATATGTTACCTGCATCCTAAGTGTTGAAAAGCATCACATTCAGTGATGTTAATGCAATATGACTGTATGCTGCTGTGAAACCAAATAGCTCTTCTGTGAGGAACTGTTGAAGGTTTTAAGAAAAGCCCAATTGTTAAGCAAGCTTTTCTTCAATGCCATGTCCAATTGTAGTCCCCCCTCCCCACCCCGGACTGGAAGTACACTGGATATTGTAAAAATGTTCAGTTGCATTTCTACACTACAGACTGTTAAGATTGGAGCTTACTGCAAATTTGGTTTTTAACTTTTAAAAATACTTTTTGTCCAATGAATTAAATTTTTAATCTTATCTCTGACACAACTATTTTAAATGCAAGTTTTTAAAATTAAAAAATTATTTCTGTACACTACAGTGTGATGTTGATAGATTGAGATGCTGAACAGAAAGATGAACCATGTACCCCTTTAGGAGCTCAGATTTTGTATGTAATATCACAAATCATGATTATGGCATGACATTGTTGGCTTGTCACCAGATATTTGTATAATGGATGATGAGCTGGCTAGTCTTTCCCTCTTCTATCTCTTCTGATTTTTTTCCAGGCCTGGGTAGCAGTTTGAGAGAAACTGCAGCGCCATGACTAAAGAGTGGCAGTTCTTACTTAGTTTGCCCTTCAAAACTTTTTAAGCAATATGATTCCTGCAAGATAATTGAAATAATGTATATAGACAGCACCCTAGAGAATAAATTAGCCAGCTTGTCTTTACTCTTACCACACACACACCCAGACCCAGCCTGATTAGAGTATCCTTAGAATCTGTATACCATGTGTTTGAACCTGTCCTCCTGCTAGCCAACAGCAGAGTTGACTCTTCCTGGGCATAGCATCTGTCTCCCAAATCTTTTCTAATGCCTTATATGCAACACTGTCATGAAAATAGTGCACTTAGGAGCTGGCCAGAACTCTGTTCTTAAATGTGACCAAAATAGCACGAGTAGCAAAGGGTGTGTATTTAAATGAAATAAATTTATTTGGTTCACTCTTAAATCCAACTTCATTTTCTCCCTATAATAAATGGAGAGCTGATCTGCAACCACTCTTAACTCTTTACTGTACTGGTCAAGTTTCTCTGGCTATAATATTTTGAAAGACATACTACAGCTCTCAAAGAACTCTTCTTACAAATTAGTTCGTTGTGTGCGACTTCCATTTATCCAATTGGTCACAACTAAAATGGCTGTATATCTAGCACATTCTGTATTTATTGTAAAATACTGGATGCCATAACATAATTCACCTGTTTACCTTTGCATACAGCTACTGTACCTGTCCCCGAAAGTATTATTTTACACCCTCCCTTCAGTGTTTCAGATTTGTAGAGGATTAACTTGGGAGTCAGTAATTGGTGACCCTATCACCTTCTTAGAGATTCTTATATTGTAATATTTTTTCAGTTTAACAGGTGTTAGAGCAAGATTTTAGAGCAATACTGATTACTTTTTCATATGCTTGTATTCAGAAATCCCTGTATTTTGCAAGTTCTTGTTTTCCTATATAGATTTTTTTCAAGCAGACTTCCTGCTTCTGCATCTCCCCTTCCCTTCATTTTGTATCCTTAAATTTACAGAGCTTTAAGTGGGACGTGGGTGGCGCTGTGGGTTAAACCACAGAGCCTAGGACTTGCCGATCAGAAGGTCGGCGGTTCGAATCCCAGTGACGGGGTGAGCTCCCGTTGCCCAGTCCCAGCTCCTGCCAACCTGGCAGTTCGAAAGCACGTCAGAGTGCAAGCAGATAAATAGGTACCGCTCCGGCGGGAAAGTAAACGGCATTTCCGTGCACCAGAAGTGGCTTAGTCCTGCTGGCCACATGACCCAGAAGCTGTATGCTGGTTCCCCTGGCCAATAAAGCGAGATGAGCGCCGGAACCCCAGAGTCAGTCACGACTGGACCTAATGGTCAGGGGTCCCTTTACATTTACCTTACTAAGTGAACTGGACCAAAAACTAGTTATCAAGATCAGTTACTCTGGTTTATCAGTGTTTATTTTCAAAACATTTAAGTTGTTAAGGAATGAACAAATCTGTGTTGAATGTAGAACAAAATACATTTGTCTTAGATTGCAAGCTGACACATACAATCTTCAAGCAAGAGGCACCCTGATTTTGTAATGCATATTACAAAGTTTTCTGAAATCAAAGGATAGCACTGGACCAATATACTTCCAAGCTGCCAAGATGATATTCTCTGCAGCACAGGAAAACCTGCAGTTTTCCTTTAGCAGCACCATAATTCCACAACATCCCACCCACACATATACAAGAAAGCAGCCCTCCCAAGTCGCAACCTGATTTCATCGGTCAAGGGAACGCTTTTGAGCAGCTTCACAACATACGTTCCTCAGGAGATTAATCACCGCTCTGGGATCATCACTCTTCATTATAGCACTCCCAGACACAATCATATTTGCTCCAGCCTGCAAAGAGGAAAAAGCCAGTTATATTTTAAAAGAAGAACTTACTGCATGTTTATATTCATGAGATGATGTAAAGGAAATACATTCTAGGGCTGTGCTCAAGACAAATTCGGCCTATTTGGAGGTAACCTTGGATTGCAACAAGTTGGACTGGATGGTTCAGAGTGAGCAATGGTTGTGGGGCACCAAGCAGGAAGCAAGCAGGGTGGGAAAAACTTCCTGCCTGGCTGAAGCTCCCCCCCCCATCACAGCTGTAGAGCAGAGGGAGCAGTCCTGCAAGGGGCACCACCTCTGGTCTCAGGGAGGAAAAGGTCTTCTTCCCCCACCCCTCTCCTGGCTATATGTTCAATTAGGATTTGAAAATGCTAATGAAACAAGCCCTGCCCCATATTGGGGTGGTTCCTATGTCAACCTGATGCCCCCCATGGGTCACGGTGACAGGCTGTGAGCAGCCCTAGTACATTCCAATAAGAAATTAAAAGCAACTTGTCAGATCTGCCATTCTAACTTTATATTCTCCTTGCTGCTCATCAGTAGAGAAAGGGCATTCAGAATTTCTCAAAGGTGCAAGAATATTCAACTATTCTGTTTCTGAAAGCTGCTAGTCTTACCTCTGCACATTTATGAATGGTATCTGGCCCTACACCACCATCCACTTCAATATCCAAGGAAGGAAACTGTGTTCTCAGCCAATGAACCTAGTTCACAGAAATAACATTATTACCAAGTCACAGGAGCTGTAATCTCTGGTCTCCCTCCATGTGTGCAAAAACTAGGCATCAATCCTTAGAATAACAGCACTCTACTATGAAAACATTCTCCATAATCCTACTATATTCACAGCTGCTGTACTCAAAATAATTAATATCCAAATCTACCTTTGGCATCATATCTTCCATGAACTTCTGTCCACCAAATCCAGGTTCCACAGTCATAACTAAGGCCATGTCTATCTGATTGGCCCATGGTGCTAAATATTCTACTGTAGTTCCTGGCTTGATAGCCAAACCAACCTATGGAAACACAATAGATTGTTATATATTAACTGAACCTACATCTTGGATTAGCAGTAAATCACTTTTACAAAAGAAAGCTATGACATGATTCCCACTAACTCAACTGTGAACATTTCCTCCTGGGCAAAGGAGATCAGTACCCAGTGTTGTCTTCATAAGTTCATTTTTCTGCCATATCGGCATATGAATAAAAGTTGTTTCCGTGCGCTGCTCTGGTTCGTCAGAAGCGGCTTAGTCATGCTGGCCACATGACCCGGAAGCTGTCTGAGGACAAACGCCGGCTCCCTCGGCCAATAAAGCGAGATGAGCGCCGCAACCCCAGAGTCGGTCACAACTGGACCTAATGGACCTAATGGTCCTACCTTTTAAGCTCTTCAAAACCTAATGTAAGCATTGATTTTACATTTCCAGTGATTAAATAGTATCTTGCGATCTCTTTCCAAATATACAATGCCTCTTTCCAAATATATAATTCAGTTAAAATTGTGCCACCATTACCACACAAAGATGATGAGAGCAGTATAAAATTCTTGAACTGTATGGACATTTGAGGAGAAATGTGCTTGCTGTTTTCCAGGAGTATAGTTTAGATTATACTTGAGTGCACTCAACTCAAGTATAATCTAAATTAGATTGTCAAGACTGTCAAGAAACACAGGCAGTTGCCGAATTGCACATGCCCTTAAGAAATTAGCTGCAGTCTACTACCTAAGGCAGGAGTTCCTAAACTGCGTGTTGCATGAACTCTGAGCCTGCTACAAGAAAAACAGATAATTAAATGTTCTCACTAGCCCAAGTGTATAGCCATGGAAGAGACTTCACTCTGTCTATGTGTGGCTCACTGCTCTGCCAAGCCTCCTTCCAATCAGACTTGGCTGGGATCAGCTAGTTCTGCATCAGCTATGGAGCACTCAAGCACTCCCAATTAAAAAATTGGAATTGGCTATCTTCTGGTGGTTGCCTGCAACATATATACATGAATGAATGGTCTCAGCTTTGTCTCCTTCCAAATTAGAAGAAATGCCCCAAACAATGCCTCAAAAAAGCAGAAGATGCATGCTCTGTTGAGGGCATTTTTTTTTTAAAAGGTGCTGCAAAAACAAAAAAACCAACCAAACACACTAAAAGGGGTTGGGTGTTTTTTGTTTACGAGTAAAGTATGCTTACAGCTGTAATTCAGACAAAGTGCTTCATCTTTCAGTGGTTTAAGGAAACGCTTACAAAGTAGCCCCAGAAGCTGTTAAACTGTTTAGCGCACCAAACTTCTCACCTTCATCCCATTTTCTCTTATGTCCTTAATGAGTGCCCCTGGATTGTTGGTAGCTTCTATGTGAAAGGTATATTGATTGGCACCTGCTACAGCCATAGGCTTCACCCACTGTTCTGGCTTAGCAACCATCATATGCATATCTAGAAAGAACCAAGTAGATCAGAAACATGAAAACAGCACATTTACTGAATCGCTACCTCAAGCATGCTCTCACAATTTACCGTATTTTTCGCTCCATAGGGCGCACCGGACCATAGGGCGCACCTAGTTTTGGGAGGCGGAAAACAAGAAAAACTTATTCTGAACCCCAGAAGCCAGAACAGCAAGAGGGATCTGGCTTCTGGGATACCGTGTGGCTGTTCTGGCTTCTGGGATAACCGTGCCAAGCCTCTTCAGGGCAGTGGGATGAAGGCTCCCCCTGCCCGAAGAGGCTGCGCAGGGCTAAAGCAGAAGCCAGGACAGGCGCGTCGCTGAAGGGGCGCTGCGCCTTCTCTCTCTGCGCAGAGAGGGAGAAGGCGCAGCGCCCTTCAGCGAAGCTGGAGAAGGAACAGAAGGAGACCCTTCTGTTCCTCCTCCGGCTTCGCTGGAAAGGCGCGTCGCTGCGAAGCGGGAGAAGGAACAGGAGACCTTCACAGGAGAGGTGCTGCGCAGAGAGGGAGAAGGCGCAGCGCCCTTCAGCGAAGCTGGAGAAGGAACAGAAGGAGTCCCTTCTGTTCCTCCTCCGGCTTCCAGGTCAGGCACCTCGCCGCGAAGCCGACGAGCCTGCACTCGCTCCATAGGACGCACACACATTTCCCCTTCATTTTTGGAGGGGGAAAAGTGCGTCCTATAGAGCGAAAAATACGGTATACAGCAAAACACGTGCACTTAAACTGCACCCAAATCTTGTTGGAAGCCAGTGTATGGCTACCTAGAGAGATGCCTTACTTTCTATAACGTCTTGGAGTTGGAAGCAGCAGAAACCACCTATGGTCCCTCCTCTCAAAATGTAGGCTTTTCAGTGGCCAGCTCTCAATGATTTGTTTAAAAGTCCAACAATGCAGGGGCAAAGAACAAGCATTCTTTAGAGCATTTTGTGCAGGGTTCTGTTCCTGGCATGTCTGTGAAGTGTATATAAGCAGGCCCCACCAGATCCAAAACACGGTGATAGCGCATCAATTGGACGTGCCTAAAATGGTTGCTACCTGTATATGTAGGCTAAGAGCACTTTAAAAAATATTTATTTCTATTCCTTGTGTGTTGCAGAATATGACAGTGTGATGCCAGAGTGTTTAATGTTCTGGCTAAAAGAAATTACTAAAGTGCACTGATTCTACAAATCTCATCACATTTGTTGGCTGTTTTTGTTTCAAAATACCACAGAATCATTAGCAAGAAAATTATTATCAAATAGGTACCGCTCCGACGGGAAGGTAAACGGCGTTTCCGTGCGCTTCTCTGGTTCGCGAGAAGCGGCTTAGTCATGCTGGCCACATGACCCGGAAGCTGTACGCCGGCTCCCTCGGCCGGTAAAGCGAGATGAGGTGCAACCCCGGAGTCGGCCACGACTGGACCTAATGGTCGGGGGTCCCTTTACCTTTAATGTAACTCATGAGAGACATGTTAGCTGAAGCCTTCTAGTACATGATAAAGTGCCAATGCTGGCTGCTAAGAAGGTAAAATGAAACTCCAGTTTTGCTTCTGAGAATCTTGAGGCAGACATTCAAACATCTTTAAAAAACAAATAGCTTACCAAAGAAGGGCTGCTGACCCAGCTGCTTCCGAAGGCTCTCTACAACAGGGTGGCCAAAAGTGATGTTTGGTACAAAATGCCTACACAATTGGGGGGGAAATAAGAAAGATAATTTATTTTAAGGTTTTGAAAAAATAGTTCTATTTAGTTCTATACTACTATAAGTGTCAGTCAATTTTAGAATGGAAATTGCTTTCAGCTTTGATTTTATACTGCTATCGAGAAATCTTAAACGCCCCACAATTCAGTACAGGTGACTTGCAGCTTACATACATTTAACTTCATATCCCTCTTTCTTGAGGATTCTTGAGGGATTTATACAGACCGTCTAGAGAATTGCAGACTACATACACACTAACACATCTCTCAAACTTCAATAGGGCTTGCATATTTATCTGCACCCTGAAGCATGTTTATACAACCGTACACTGAATGAACAGATAAAAGTGAAGACAGAATGCATGACTCTTGCACTGCATTTTCAGACACAATCATGTTTTAAAATACTGTATGTTGTAGAATACTTGTTGTTTTGCTCCAGATGTATGCATGAAGAAATGCATTTGCTGAAACAGGTTCCTTGCCAATAAAACTTGCACAAATTTTGTTGTGGCTGCTAGAGGAAACCACATTGTAGGTGTACATTCTGAAGTACAGTGGTGCCCCGCAAGACGAATGCCTCGCAAGACGGAAAACCTGCTAGACGAAAGGGTTTTCCGTTTTTGAGTTGCTTCGCAGGACGAATTTCCCTATGGGCTTGCTTCGCAAGACGAAAATGTCTTGCGAGTCTTGAGATTTTTTTTTCCGCTTTTCCCCCCTTTATCTAAGCCGCTAAGCCTTTAATAGCCTTTTAGCAGCTAATCCGATAAGCCGATAAGCCTTTAATAGCCGCTAAACCGCTAATAGCGCTAATCCGTTAAGCCGCTAATAGGGTTGCTTCGCAAGACGAAACGGAACGGATTAATTTCGTCTTGCGAGGCACCACTGTAGTAGTTTCTTTAAAAGCAACAAGAGACGAACAAGCACAGTGCCTGCAAATTGTCAACCAAGCCGTAACAGAAAATACAATCTTTTCCCTCACTCCAATATAGTTATACCAAACTTTACTCAGTAAAGTACTGTGGACTGTATTATGGGTAATGAAATTTGCCTTTTACCGGAATGGCAATTTAAAACATTGCTGAAGTGCAAAAGACAACTGATGTGCATTTGCCAAGAATAGCATTTCTAGTCACAAGATGCCACTCTACCTATGAGATGCCGAGTTATGCCATTCCAATAAAGTGTATTGGATAGTAAGAAAATGTATTATGCCCTCATGCTGTATTCCATTTTAGTTCTACAGCTAGCATATAGCTACTAACTAAAAGCACATTTAAAGATTTTGTATACTTAATATATAATTTTAAAGAAAAAAGCTACACAAGTCACCACTTTTTTTACACTTAACTAATATAACCAAGAATGTTCCTAGTCCTGCAAGGAAGACGGGAAGGAGCAAATATGTATGTGGTGCTTCCACATAACAATTTATTTATTTGGTGCATGCATGCAGATTTTATGCAGCATTCACACAACATTTTCATCAAAATGCTATCCTATATGATTTTTCCATTTAATGTGGATTAACTATTTCCACAGAAAATCAAAGAACTTTATTAAAAGCTCTATGGAAACAGCAAATTGAAATTAATCAGGGATTAATGTAAAATTAGGGACGCGGGTGGCGCTGTGAGTTAAACCACAGAGCCTAGGACTTGCCGATCAGAAGGTCGCGGTTCGAATCCCCACGATGGGGTGAGCTCCTGTAGTTCGGTCCCTGCTCCTGCCAACCTAGCAGTTCGAAAGCACGTCAAAGTGCAAGTAGATAAATAGGTACCGCTCCAGCGGGAAGGTAAACGGCGTTTCCATGCGCTGCTCTGGTTTGCCAAAAGCGGCTTAGTCATGCTGGCCACATGACCTGGAAGCTGTACTCCGGCTCCCACGGCGAGATGAGCGCCGAAACCCCTAATAGTCCTAATGGTCAGGGGTCCCTTTACCTTTTTAGATAGATATAATCAGATTAATGGATTGGGTCAGACCTGGTAGATTAATATATAGGTTGGTTGATTATTAAAAAAAATGATTAGCTGATTATATTAAATCGGTTGATTCTATTAAATACCAGATAAACAAAATCAGATTAGATGGATTGGATTAGATTAGATTGAAAAAAAAAGTAAAAAAATAGTCCAGTAGCACTTTAGAGACCATCTAAGTTGTTCTGGGTATAAGCTTTCGTATCTCAAGTGTGCATGCACACAAACGTCTATGCCCAGAACAACTTAGTTGGTCTCTAAGGTGCTACTGGACTATTTTTTAATTTTTAATTTCGACTGCATCAGACCAACCAATACGGCTACCTACCTGAATCTGGATTAGATTGAATGGAGTAGATTATGAGGCAGATTGACTATATTAGATTTGCTAGACTGGAATGCGCATACTCTCTTAATAGGTACTGTATGTCTTAAGCAGCCTAAGAAAAAATTAAATCTACAGGACTGTCGCGGGGGGGGCGCCAGGCATTTTAACCGGAAGCGCGGGCTGCGCGCCCCCCGCCGTGTTCCCCCTCTCTGGTTTCCGATCCCCCTTTCGTCTCCGCGCCCCCTCCGGGGCGGCCTCCCCTTCGCGGTCCGCGGCGCAGTTACCCGTCCATTACATCCAGGTGCAGGTAGTCGGCTCCGCAATCCACCATCCGGCCGCACTCGGCGCCCAGGGCCGCCAGGTCGCTGTTGAGGATGGAGGGGCCGACGCGGCAGCCGGACGCCATGGCGGAGGGACGGGAGAGCTTCGTCGCGAGGCTTCCGCCCGCACTCCCGGCCTGGCCGGAAACGAAGGCGCCGGGCGGAAGCGCGCGCCTGATGGGAAATGTGGTCCGCGAGCCCCGCCTCGGCTTCTGGGCGAGCGTCGCTTGCGGCGCGCCAGTCTCGGAAACCTCCCCGGAAGCCACGCCTCTACTATTCTTTCCCCCGCTTATCTTTCCCTCAGCTCCGCAGACGGGGTGGAACTACGCATCCCACAAGGCCCCGCGCGCGCCACGTGCCTGCGGATGGATAACCGCTAATAGGACGAAATGTTTCTTAAGAAGGACAATCAATCGATCAATCCACCTCGGGGGCGGGGCTGGTTGCCGGTGCTCCGGGTGGCCTCTGAGGAGCTGCGCGCGTCGAAGCCCGCCGACCAGCCACTCAGCTCCCGCCTTTCAGTCACTTCATGGTGGGCGGAATTCTATTGGCTGGCTTGGAGGGGGAGGGCAACCAGCCAATCGCATGCAAGCGCGCAATCGTTCCCTTCCAATCGAAAGGCCTCCGTTTGGTAGGTGGGGTCCTAATTAGCTGTGGCGAAAGGTAGCGCTACTTGAAGCGCCGCGTTTGGGCAATAGCGCTCCCTGCAGGTGTGCGGAGCAGCCTATCTGGGCTCAGGGGGCTTTACCTACTATTATTTGTTAATTTTGTAATGCAGCTGTGATAAGAATTTTAAAGTCTTCAATATATAATAAATGTTCCTAAGTTCCCAACCAAGCACGTACAGGAAGACCGACCTGGAACCATTTTGATTCCCAAACTGAGCAAATGTTTTCTCTGCAAGGTCAAAGGAAAATGGAAAAGCCTCCCCATTGTCTTTTCCTTCACAAATCCTGTCTTAAGGGTATGTCTGTCTGTGTTTTAATAGGGCGAGCCTGTGACCTGGCCCAGGAACTAAGTATTTATCATTACAAAAGACTGGCCAGGCTCACCAGGGTATGAAGTCAAGTGAGCATTAACAGGTAACTTGTCAGACAGGTGGTGCTGCGCTGGCTAGCCAGATGCAGCTTGTCACGCTGGCCACGTGACCCAGAAGTGTCTGCGGACAGCACTGGCTCCCGGCCTCTAGAGTGAGATGAGCACACAACCCTAGAGTCTGGCAAGACTGGCCCGTACGGGCAGGGGTACCTTTTTGTCAGACAGGAGATAACGCACTCAGCTTTCTGTTGTAGACCGCCTCTTCTGTGATGTAGGTGTGTGGCCTTGGGTTACACCTGTGATAGGAATTTTGAGGTTTTGGGTTCCAGCTACATAGAAAGAAGAATCTTGGATTGAGCTTATTTCAAGTCGTGTTCTTTGGTGTTAATGCACATTGACCCAGAAATCGCAAAGTGTGTGGAATGAGACCAAAATAACACAACACCGTCTTTTCACTTCCATATGCGTAGAAAGATGACGAATAAGCTTTGCTTGGGCTTATTTCAATTCACATGGTGTTTTTTGGGTGTGCACCAGAATCACACCCAACCAAAGCAAAAAGGTGTTTTGGGTTCCATCTACATAAAAAGAAGATAATTAAGCTCTGATTGGGCTTATTTCAAATTGGTGTTTTGGGGGTTAGAATGCACATTCACCCAAAAATCGTAAAGTGACATGCTTATGAGCAGCCGAAATCAAGCATAGGTGTTTTGGTTCCATCTCAATAGAAAGAGGACGAATAAACTTGGATTGCTCTTTGGTTGTTCATTCACCCACAAATAGCAAAGCGAAGTGTAATAAGCCTAAACAAAGCCAAACAGCTTGTTTTGGGTTGCAGCAACATAGAAAGAAGAATCTTGGATTTTGCTTATTTCGTGTTCTTTGGTGTTAATGCACATTGACCCAGAAATCGAAAAATGCATGGAATGAGACCAAAATAACACAACACCGTCTTTTCGCTTCCATATGCGTAGAAAGACGACGAATAAGCTTTGATTGGGCTTATTTCAAGTCGCATGGTGTTTTTTGGGTGTGCACCAGAATCACCCCCAACCAAAGCAAAAAGGTGTTTTGGGTTCCATCTACATAAAAAGAAGATAATTAAGCTCTGATTGGGCTTATTTCAAATTGGTGTTTTTGGCGTTAGAATGCACATTCACCCAAAAATCGTAAAGTGACATGTTTATTAGCAGCCCAAATGAAGCATAGGTGTTTTGGTTCCATCTGAATAGAAAAAGGACGAATAAGCTTGGATTGCCCTTTCGGTGTTCATTCACCCACCAATAGCAACGCGATGTGTAATAAGCATAACAAAGCCAAACAGGTTGTTTTGGGTTCCAGCTACATAGAAAGAAGAATCTTGGCTTTCGCTCATTTCAAGTCCTTTGGTGTTAATGAACACTGACCCAGAAATCGCAACGTGTGTGTAATGAGACAAAAATAACACAACACCGTCTTTTCGCTTCCATATACGTAGAAATACGACGAATAAGCGTTGATTGGGCTTATTTCAATTCGCATGGTGTTTTTTGGGTGTGCACCAGAATCACCCCAAACAAAACCAAAAAGTTGTTTTGGCTTCCATCTACATAAAAAGAAGATAATTATGCTCTGATTGGTTGGGTGTGCACCAGAATCACCCCCAACCAAAGCAAAAAGGTGTTTTGGGTTCCATCTACACAAAAAGAAGATAAATAAGCTCTGATTGGGCTTATTTCAAATTGGTGTTTTTGGCGTTAGAATGCACATTCACCCAAAAATCGTAAAGTGACATGTTTATTAGCAGCCCAAATCAAGCATAGGTGTTTTTGTTACATCTCAATAAAAAGAGGACGAATAAGCTTGTATTGCTCTTTCGGTGTTCATTCACCCACCAATAGCAAAGCGAAGTGTAATAATTCTAAACAAAGCCAAACAGGTTATTTTGTGTTCCAGCTACATAGAAAGAAGAATCTTGGATTGCGCTTATTTCAAGTCGTGGTTTTTGGTGTTAATGCATATTGACCCAGAAATCGGAAAATGTGTGGAATGAGACCAAAATAACACAACACCGTCTTTTCGCTTCCATATGCGTAGAAAGTCGACAAATAAGCTTTGATTGGGCTTATTTCAATTCGCATGATGTTTTTTGGGTGTGCACCAGAATCACCCCCAACCACAGCAAAAAGGTGTTTTGGGTTCCATCTACATAAAAAGAAGATAATTAAGCTCTGATTGGGCTTATTTCAAATTGGTGTTTTTGGCTTTAGAATGCACGTTCACCCAAAAATCGTAAAGTGACATGTTATTAGCAGCCGAAATCAAGCATAGGTGTTTTTGTTCCATCTCAATAGAAAGAGGACGAATAAACTTGGATTGCTCTTTGGTTGTTCATTCACCCACAAATAGCAAAGCGAAGTGTAATAAGCCTAAACAAAGCCAAACAGCTTGTTTTGGGTTGCAGCAACATAGAAAGAAGAATCTTGGATTTTGCTTATTTCGTGTTCTTTGGTGTTAATGCACATTGACCCAGAAATCGAAAAATGCGTGGAATGAGACCAAAATAACACAACACCGTCTTTTCGCTTCCATATGCGTAGAAAGACGACGAATAAGCTTTGATTGGGCTTATTTCAAGTCGCATGGTGTTTTTTGGGTGTGCACCAGAATCACCCCCAACCAAAGCAAAAAGGTGTTTTGGGTTCCATCTACACAAAAAGAAGATAAATAAGCTCTGATTGGGCTTATTTCAAATTGGTGTTTTTGGCGTTAGAATGCACATTCACCCCAAAATCGTAAAGTGACATGTTTATTAGCAGCCCAAATCAAGCATAGGTGTTTTGGTTCCATCTCAATAGAAAAAGGACGAATAAGCTTGGATTGCCCCTTCGGTGTTCATTCACCCACCAATAGCAATGCGAAGTGTAATAAGCCTAAACAAAGCCAAACAGGTTGTTTTGGGTTACCCCCAACCACCACAAAAAGGTGTTTTGGGTTCCATCTACATAAAAAGAAGATAATTAAGCTCTGATTGGGCTTATTTCAAATTGGTGTTTTTGGGGTTAGAATGCACATTCACCCAAAAATCGTAGAGTGACATGTTTATTAGCAGCCGAAATCAAGTATAGGTGTTTTGGTTCCATCTCAATAGAAAGAGTACGAATAAGCTTGGATTGCTCTTTGGGTGTTCATTCACCCACAAATATCAAAGGGATGTATAATAAGCCTAAACAAAGCCAAACAGGTTGTTTTGGGTTCCAGCTACATAGAAAGAAGAATCTTGGATTGCGCTTATTTCAAGTTTTGGTTTTTGGTGTTAATGCATATTGACCCAGAAATCGCAAAATGTGTGGAATGAGACCAAAATAACACAACACCATCTTTTCGCTTTCATATGCGTAGAAAGACGACGAATAAGCTTTGATTGGGCTTATTTCAATTCGCATGGTGTTTTTGGGTGTGCACCAGAATAACCCCAAACAAAACCAAAAAGTTGTTTTGGGTTCCATCTACATAAAATGGAGATAAGCTCTGATTGGGCTTATTTGAAATTGGTGTGTTTTGGGGTATAATGCACTTTCAACCAAAAATCGTAAAGTGACATGTTTATTAGCAGCCCAAATCAAGCATAGGTGTTTTGGTTCCATCTCAATAGAAAAAGGACAAATAAGCTTGGATTGCTCCTTCGGTGTTCATTCACCCACAAATAGCAAAGCGATGTGTAATAATCCTAAACAAAGTCAAACAGGTTGTTTTGGGTTCCAGCTACATAGAAAGAAGAATCTTGGCTTTCGTTTATTTCAAGTCGTGTACTTTGGGGTTAATGCACATTGACCCAGAAATCGCAAAGTGTGTGGAATGAGACCAAAATAAAAACACCGTCTTTTCGCTTCCATATGCGTAGAAAGACGACGAATAAGCTTTGATTGGGCTTATTTAAAATCGCATGATGTTATTTGGGTGTGCACCAGAATCACCCCAAACAAAACCAAAAAGTTGTTTTGGGTTCCATCTACATAAAAAGAAGATAATTAAGCTCTGATAGGGCTTATTTCAAATTGGTGTTTTTGGGGTTAGAATGCACCCAAAAATCGTAGAGTGACATGTTTATTAGCAGCCGAAATCAAGCATAGGTGTT